TTTGTTGAACATTCCTGATAAATATAGTATTTGCACGACGTAGCTCTTGTAACGTGAGATAGGTTGAACGCATTTTGTTTACCGTGGGTAATCGTAATATCCACGCAAAAATACGGATTATTTTTGCATAGCAACTAAACTTGGATAATAAATGGTTAATAATGTTTAAAATTATTGATGTCGTTTGTTGTTTTACGACCACTGCGTTTGATTGAGTCATAGATGATTTCTTGATTTCCAAGTCAGTTTTGTAAGTTTTTTGAGTGGTATTTTGGTTTTGAAAGGATTTAATCCAGGACGGGCCGTGCCACCACAGCTCATGTTCTTTCAATTGTTTAGTGGTCAATCCACGAGTTGCACAGTCCGCTGGATTCTCGCTAGTGTTAACATATTTCCAATGTTCTGATGGTATTAGCTGGGTAATAGCTTGGACGCGATTGGTTACAAATGGTTTCCATCTCGCAGGATCTCCTTGGATCCACCCTAAAACAGCTGTTGAGTCGGTCCAGCAATAACTTAATATGTTATAATCTTCTAAACTATTTTCTACTTTTTGCATTAGTTTCGATAATAGTTGGGCCCCCATTAGCTCCAGTCTGGGTGTCGATATGATTTTGTTTATAGGTACTACCTTAGCTTTAGCTGCGACTAAAACTACGGTAGAACTTTCTCCTTTGTTGACTCGGCAGTATATTACAGCGGCATACGCTTGATTCGAAGCATCGCAAAAACCATGTAGTTGTACCTGTTCATCTTGGTTTATCCCAAGCCATCTATTTACTTCTATGGTATGGATTTCCCTTAGTTCTCTTCTCAATTTAGACCACTTGGTTTCTATTTCTTCTGGTAAAGAATCATCCCAATTTAGGTTGGATAACCACACAGTTTGAAATAATATCTTCATATTAATGCTCAAAGGGGTGAGCCATCCTAATGGATCGAACAGTTTTGAAATGTCCGATAACAGAGACCTTTTAGTTAGTTTTGTTGTTACTTCCTGGTCTAGTTTGGAGTCAAATATAAATTGATCTTTTTGTGGGTTCCAAGCGAGACCTAAAGTTTTGGTGGAGTCTGATTGTTTGAACTCATACGTTTGCTGGTTACATAAACTTTTATCTAGATCTGATAGAAGCCGAGGTTCGTTCGACGCCCATTTTCTTAAGTTAAATCCCCCCTTGCGGAGTATTTTTATAAGGTCTAGTTTTAGCTGGTTTGCCTGTTCTATTGAATGTTGACCTCCACAGTAATCGTCCATGTAGAAGCTTTCTTCTAAGGCCTTTGCTGCGGTAGGATAATTTTTCTGTTCGGCAGTTGCTAACTGCTTCAAACACATCATAGCTAGAAATGGTGCTGGCTTCGTACCATAAGTTACGGTAGTAAGCTGATATGTTTGAATAGGTTGGTTTTGGGTGTTTCTCCATAGTATTTTTTGGTATGGTTGGTCATCGGGATGCACCATTATTTGTCGGTACATTTTTTCAATATCCGCCGTGAAAACATACTGATACTGTCTCCATTTGAGGATAAGTTCCTGAAGATCTTGTTGTAAATTTGGGCCTCGATATAGGATATCATTAAGACTTAATCCAGATAGCGACCTTGCCGATGCATTAAACACGACACGTAGCTTTGTAGTCGTTGACTCCGCTCGAATTACACTGTGATGCGGTAAATAGCACTCAGGTGTCATGTTTGTGTTTGATTGTTTCATATGACTTAATGTAATATATTCATTCATAAATAGTTCGTATTCTTTTTTCACTTCCTGGTTTCTTTGCAATTTTTTCTCTAGATTACGAAACTGTGCCAAGGCTAATGGTTTCGTGGATCCCAGTAGTTCCTTTGAATCTGATTTGAATGGTAGCCGAACTTGGAATCGGCCATCTTTAAGCCTTTCTGTGGTTGATAAGAAAAATTGCAAGCACTCCTGGTCTTCTGTGGACATTTCATATTGTTGGTGGATATCTTCATTTTCCCAAAATCTGCGCAAGTCATCTGTATTATGAAGAACAACATTGCAGTTGTATTGGGGTTTCATTGACCCGCAAAGCAGCCATCCCAATTGTGTTTGCTGGGCAATTGGTTGATCCTCATCATCTCCTCTTAAAATGCCACCTAGCATTATCTTGCAGTATACATCGGCTCCCAGAAGTAAATCCACTGCACGGCTGATATAGAAATCGGGATCCGCTAAATTAATAGTTTGGATGTGAGGCCACGATGGTCGAACAAAAGTTTTATTTGGTAAGCTTTTAATTAGACTTTTATATAAGTGTCTCTCCTTCCAGTGCAAAGTCACTGTAGATAGATTGGATGCGAATGTTCATTACACCTTTACAACTATTTTCTTTTTCCCGATGCCAAAAATTGATCTTTACATTTCTTTCTTTTTAATTTCAAAATTTGAGCAGCATTTTCGTTTATTATTGATATTTGTGATCCTTGGTCAATCAAAGCTCTCATGGTATGTTGAGTGCCGTCTGCTCCTGTCACCTTGACGATTGCAGTTGACAACAAGGTTTCGGTCACATTATTCTGAGACACATGAGTGGTTGAGAAGTTGGTTGGTGTGGTCTCAGCTTTAGGATTTATTTTTGCTGACGAATTTGTTTTCGATTTCATCATTATTCCTTCATGCAATAAAGTGTTATGGCTTGCGTTGCATTTGCGACATCTTTTCGTCGAAAAACATTGTTTATTAAAGTGATTAAATAGACAATTTACGCAACAATTTAGTTGATTAACCGTTTTTAATTTTCGTTCATCCGACATTTGTAAAAATTGAGCACAGAGCCATAATCCGTGGTCAGCATTACACAATGCGCATATTATTGGTTTTGAGACATGCATAGTCCTCGTGATATTTTTCCCGTTATAGAATTTATTGTTGTTTGAAGATTGCTGATGGTTGTTAAATTGAAGAGTCTTTTTCTGGTATGAATGGTTTTGATGAGATGGTTGATTGGTTTTCTGATAATTCGATTCTTGTTTACGCCTCGATGCCTCTAATGCGGTAAATTTATTTTCCAAGAAATCAAGGAATTCTTGCAAAATAGGTAAAGCCCTGGGGGTTTTTACTGACTCCATGTATTCGGAGAACGACTCAGTATCTAATTTTTGGGTTAACAAATGAACCAAGAGTGGGTCCCAGGTGGAGATATCTACGCCTAGATTTTGTATAGCGTGCAGACATTCTTTGGTTACATCATGCAACTTTTTCAACATTCCCATTGTTTGGTTTGACATGTTTGGTAAGTTCAATAATAAATTAAGATGGGATGTAAATATAAGCCTCTGGTTACCGTATCTATGATTAAGTATCTCCCAACATACTTCATAATTTTCCGAGCTAATTTGAAGATGGTAGATCAAACGCTCGGCTTCTCCCGTTTTTACTTTTTAAATACTGCTTTTTTGTGCATTCGATAAAGATGGGTTTTTGTGTATGGTTTCAGTAAATAAATCTTTAAAAGAAGTCCATTGGTGGTAGTTACCCTGGAAGATTGGATTATCTTTTTGGAGTAGATTTATCCCGATGTGTTTCAGACCACATTTCGAATTGATGGTTTTCTTCATTTCTATATAAATTTTTCATGCGTGCTAAATTCATTTTGATACCACATGTTTTCATCGCCGTCTTCGCCTTCTATCTCCCAGTGCAGACTATCAATGACAGTCCAACGACTTTGAAGACATTTCAGAGCATCCTCAAACTCCCATTTGTTCTGTAACTTCTCACTTCAAAAGTAGCTACAGTTCTCTCAAAGGCTCTAAAGTTGATGGTTTGCTTTTTGATCATGTCACTCAATTTGCTGACACGTTCTACGCTCTTCGCATTAGTCTGTGGTTGGTTAGTTTTAGAATAGGATACGCTCGGCGTTTGGTTTGACGCACTTGCCTCTGGAGGCAGCTGGTAAACTCCATGTTGCTTAGACAAGAGATTTTCCATGGTTTTCGTAATTAACATTTTGGCAGTCAAATATACTCTTCGGCCTTATCGAAACAATTATTAATAAAATACACATGACCAAGTTCAGCGGTTTCACAGCACTTTCTATGATTCCGTTGATAGTCTCTCCAGTAATTTTCTAATAGCTCTAATTTCCTCTTACAGTAATCTATGGTTTTCCTATCTTCTCCATCTTTCTTGAAGTTAGTCAAGAATTTAACTAAAGCGTCGTAGATCTCGGTTTGGTTGATAGAGAGTGCCTCCATGTTAAAATGCAAAGACAATTAAATGAATTAATAAAATGGTTTGGTCTGACCTTATATTCTCCTTACGATACAGCTCCACTCTCGATGTAGCGTTCTCTGATGATGTGCACTGCTTATTATCTCTATCTAATTACTGGTAGTAAGATCCCGGATTCACAAAACACTTTCGAACAGTACTTCCGAATTGTACTTCGCGACCCGAGATCCGGCTCGAAGGACCATGTAAAAAGGTGCGTCACTACGTACGAAGCGATTCCCTTTTTATAGAGTTTGCAAGTTATTGACTATCAATGGTGAGATAAAAAATACACTAAGTTATGTTTGATTTAAGAATATATTAAATTCTACAAATGATGGTTTAACTGATTAATACTAAAAGATGATTTGATTTGATTTGTACGAGTAGACCGGCGATTGCGTACTACTATTGAACGTAAAATTCGATGCCTTTTATAAAAGTGTTTGTACGTAAAATGCTGAGCTGTTCGGTTGCGTTGCTCCGAACAAACAGACTATAATTTATTTTATATTTGTTGACGTTTCAAAAGTACTAAATTATTGTTTAATTAAAATAAATAGTTTGACTTTGACTTTGTACTTATACTACACTTTAAAATTGTATGGAACTCGAAGTCTTTTTGAACCTATTGTTTTCTTATGTAAGTTCTTTTTATGTGACTGTTTGTTTCCTAAATAAAATAAAATAAAATAAAACAAAGTTACAAGTCGACGGTCGACCTCAACAGAATCGTATGTGTGAGAAGTAACGGCATGTGTGTGTGCAGGCGTGTCACGGCGCCGTGTTGGCGGCCAGCGGGCGCCGCGCGGCGCCGCAGCTGCGCGCGCTGGTGCCGGCCTGGCTGCAGGCGCAGCACGACGACCACGCGCCCGCGCAGTCGCACGCGCGCCGCGCTCTCGCCGTGAGTACCGGCTCTACTAGTCCTGCCCGCTGTCGTTGTATACGATACTCGACGACCGTATTGTTCGCAGAAAACGTTTCCTGATACCAAGTTGCCCGAAGTGATCTCTTTCTGCAAGGCCGAAGTGATAGCCTATCTACTTGACAACCTTATAGGTAATACGGGAGCAGTGATAAGCAAGAGGTAAGTACGCGTTACTGAGTCCTTTTATACAAACTGGTAGTCATTCGTTAGCGATAAGTTTTACTAATTCAATTCATGATTGTTTTTATGGATCATCATTCTTTTCATGTTATTACGTAGGCACTTATCTCATTGTAAATGAAAGCATTTATGGTCATAAACTGTGTATACAATACTCAGCTCAATCAGTTGAGAATGTCTACCTACTTCAAAAAGTTGCAAGTTTACACTTGATTCATTCATGCATATTACATAACCAGTTTACTGTTCGTGCACTTTCTATTCGTCTTAACACTATTTATTATTACGAAGCTTTTATTTACATGAAAGTCTATTTCCAAGTTAGTCGGAAGCATGAATATGCTTCGGGTATTGGTGACGTTCAGTATGACGCTTTTATTTACATATTTCCTCAGGATACAGAACGAAGAGGAACGAGAATTACAAATGAATCGTATTATAACGAGCAGTCTTCATGGGCTGCAGTATTTCCTGGTACACCTGCCCAGTGCCCACGATGACTGGCTGTGGACGGAGCTGGAGCCGCTACTGCAGGCCCCCGCCTTCTGGAAGCTCTTCCACGGCCCCCCGCAAGTGAGGTACGGGCCCGGGGCTAGTGTACTAGTGCTAGTGGCCACGCGTGGCTAATATTTATTTACTAAAATAAAACGGTGACGCGTCGATGGTAGATGTTATCTATCTATCTATACATATAATAAATCTGTAGAAAAGTAATTCTTGTACATTGAAGAAATTGACAAAAAATAATAGCCAGCGTGAGGATAACTAACAGAACCCTTTTCCATATTCTTTGACATTTTTTTTATGGCATAAGCCGGTTAACGAGCATACGGATCACCTGATGGTAAGCAATCGGCGTCGCCAATGGACACCTGGAACACCGGAGGCGTTAAAGTGCGTTACCGGCCTTTTGGGGATTAGGAGTTTGACGATCGTTGAGGATTCAGGGATTGGGGAGATTGGGGAAGGGGAGGGTAATTGGGCCTCCGGTAACCTCACTCACACGACGAAACACAACGCAAGCGTTGCTTCACGTCGGTTATCTGTGAGGCCGTGGTATCACTCCGGTGGAGTCGGCCCATTCGTGCCGAAGCATGGCTCTCCCACACTTATATACTCCCACATTTTTTATTGTTTGTCTGTATATATGTTTGTTTGTGCGCGCATCACGTCAAATCTACGAATTCAATGCAGGTAATGCTTATATAAGCAAAAAATACTATACCACCTTCTTGAGTGGAGTTTATATGTATATAGATTTTTTTTAAGGGAAGAAAATCATGTAATGACTAACATAACATTTAATTACTACAGCGTTGGTTAAGGGGACACCAAAGTGGCCGCTAAATAGGGAATATTGGACTCGATTTTCAGGTTAAATAAGTCATTGTTGAAGTTTGGCAGACAAAAATGTATTTCGTTTTAAGGGGGGAAAATCATCGAATGACTGCTCCCGCCTGGGTGAGGCGGAAGGGAGTGTCAAACTCTTACTGACTAAAAACCAGGCCGTTCCTACTCCTGCACTTCGAGCCGGAATCCCGGTAACCCGTTAAGCATCAACCCTATTGGGCCCCATCCGTGGTGGTCGCGCGCCACCACGAATGGGGCGCACGTGGAACGCAACGCGCCGTACGCTTGGGTCTGGTTCTGATCGGGCGGCGACCCACCCATGTTCGCCGTCCGCATGCCCGCGCTTAAGGTAGCCGGAGATCATCCCGCGATCCCCGATCTGATCGCCCGGAGTGTCTTTCGCGATGGCTAGGTTGTAAGGAGGCAGCTGACTGCTTCGCAAAAGGAGGAGACAGCATCCCAGTCCCCCTCGCTCCGCATCATGACCCGCTCTAGGACCCGACGCGAGAGGTCGCCATCGTCGATTACGTCCCTGAGGGCTTGGCGGTGCTCAGCTCACGCACGCCACGTGGGCTGAGCACCTGAGTAGGGGAACCCCTACTGTGTGTTCCATCGTGTCCCCAGGGCGGTCCTCGCAGTGATGACACCCGGGCGTTTCCTTCCGCCCCATCAGACACAGGTACCTCCAGAAACTTCCATGTCCGGTGAGGACCTGCGTCAGGCGGTAGGTGAGGACGCCGTAGCGTCTGTCAAGCCACTCTTCAAAAAGGGGACTTCCCGCTGCAATGGCAGCGAACCCAACCCTCGGTTGCGACAATCGTTGCTGCCATTCCGCCATTAGATCGCGCCGGAGATCTTCCCGCCACGCACTTAGGTATCTGGCGCAGTAGCGGAGTGTCGCCCCGGCGTGCCTCCGCGCGCAGACAATACACGCGCGCGAGCCCCGGCCTCCAGATCCCACGGCGGATGTATATAGCCTACTGTTATCTAAACGATGTTGTTTTGTTTTCCACAACCACGTGCAGGAAGTCGCGGGCACAGCTAGTCTATTCATAAAAATAAGTAGGTAAATAATATATTATATGTATCTATAATTGTGTTCTATAATCATAATTTATTATTTTGTACTCGTTCTAAGTTTCTCTCATTACTTCAGTCCATGATTAAGAAATGGATCAATAAAGTGAAACACGTTCGATCCGCTCGTCATGTCTCGCCCGAGGTGGTCGCAGTGTCCGCAGCGCAGTGTTGCAGGGCGGCGTGGTGCGGCTGCGCGGGGCGGCTGGCGGCGCGCGGCGCGCGGCTGGGCGCGGAGCGCGGCTCGCGGCTGGGCGCGGAGCGCGCGCGCCGGTTGCTGCGCCTGCTGCTGCAGCGCGCGCCGCCGCCCGCCGCCGCCGACACCTGGGCGGCGCTGCTGCAGCTCATGCACCACGTGCCGGTACCGCAGCCTCTACAGTCGGCTTGACTACTCCTTGCTTATTTCATCATGACAATAAATGACGAACACATACGCAAAATAACGTGTGTTACAGGAGTGGCACGCGTACTTGGACGAGAAGGACTTGCTCGTGAGAAGATTACTGGACATGTTAGAGAACGGTAATAGAACGAGTGTAACGTCCGGGGCGAGCGAGTGCTGTAGGCTGTAGCGCGTAGTTACGAGTTGTAACGTGTTGCGTGTTGCAGGCGGCTGGGGCGACGCGCGCCAGCTCTCCAACACGCTGCTGCCACTGCTGGCGCATCTGCCGCAGGACCTTGTCACTAAGGATTTTTATGAAGCCTTTTTTAATGCCATTTTTTCTGGGTAAATTTCTATTTTCTCTTAACTATACTCTTGGGACTTATTTGCACTAAAACTAAATAATACCTACACTTTTTCAGACTTGAAAAGAAAAATGTATTGAATTCAAAAAGTGAAAGGCAGCTGTGGATAACGAGTTTGTCTGAATGCTTACGATACTTGTCCATACAACAATATGACTACGTGTTGGAGATTACCACAAATGTGCACAGAACTTGGCTAGCCAGGGTGCTCTCTACGACACAAGACGCGCAGACCAGATCCAATCTCATAAAGTACTCTGCTGGCTGCATGACGTCTCTTGTCAAATATTGGCTCAGACAGTCCAATGAACAGAAATCTGAGAAGTACGACCAGCTCGTAAGGAACTTCTGGCAAAACATAGGTTCTACGGTCTCGGCACAAATAGATAAATCCGGCAACGACGTCAATGAAATCAGCCAACTCATAGAAGGTCACATTCTGCTCTTACAAACGTTAAAAACCTCGTTCTCCCAGGAAGGTAAGAAACAATTAAACATAAAATTTGATGACGACGAGCCCAGCGTCCCCGAAGAGAGCGTCGCGGCGTTCTCGTCCGCCCCGGCCGGCGCGGCAGACGCGGCCGACGCGGCGGACGCGGAGCGGTACCGCCACTGCCTGTGGCGCCAGGCCGAGGCCGCGGCCGCCGCCTACCTGGGCGCCGGCGCCGCGCGCCGCCTGGCGCCCGCCGTGCTGGCGCCGCTCATCACGCTGCTGGTGGCCTTCGACTCGGAGGCCGTGTTCCTGGCACTGGCCCGCCAGCTGGGCCAGCCCTCGGTGGCCGCGTTGTACCACAACGTGTTGCGGGGCTGGCTCTGCGAGGACGACATGCGCTGCGAGGCTCTCGTGGATGTCATCTTTCTCATGACTGAGTACATGACTGAACGAGAACAAGATGCCATGTTTGATACGTTCCAACAGGTAATTGTTATAATGTCTTTTTTCTGCCTAAACGTTAACATAACATCCACAACATCATTTTGTACAAACTCAATGTGCTCTACATTAAGTAACCGTTTTATTTAAAACATTTATCATTAATCCAAAACAAAAAAAATACTTTTATTTATCGCTAGCTTTTACCCGCGGCTTCGCTCGCGCCACAAAAGAATAAAAAGTAGCCTATGTGACATATACCAATACACACAGCGCCATCTATACCAATACTTTTGTTTTTCCTCGGGAATATCAATTTTTTCCGGGTTAAAAAGTACCCTATTATTTAATCCGGACCTCTAACGTTACGTCTGCAAAAAATCAAAGCAACCGGTTGAGTAGTCACGGCGTGAAGGTGGAACAAACAAACAAACAAACAAACTCACTTTCAGATTTATAATATTAATATTAAATATTAATAATAAATCTGAAAGGATAAGGATACGCACTGATAGGTTAGTAGTCGGTGCCAGAAGTTATAAACTAAAGTATTAGTTATTATGTTTTTGTGCGTATATACGTACTTTTGACGAGGAACTTGACTAGTTTCAAGTCATCCCAGTCTATTGATACGCGCTTTCAGATCGACGTAGTCTATACTGACTATATATCTGGCTGGGTTACTATCCGTAGCGGTGTTCTACAGGACTCCCTGATTGGACATCCTTTAGGAAGCACGCACCTCTTAGTACTCCGGTGGCGAGTACAGACAGACACTACAGAAAAAAAAATTGTGTCGAGTTTGTCGTACTTGTAACGACAGCAGCTTCCTTGGGATTGTACCCAAGGAAGGCTAGAACTATGGCAGAACTATAGAACTATGGCACCAGCTACCTCCCTGTCACACCTTTATTGTCTTTTTATATTTTATTTATGCTGCATCGTGCCTGGTGCTTAATAAATGTTTTTTCTTTCTTTCTATGATTAGTAAAGATTTTTTAAACATTTATTTTTTTATATATAATTCATGGAGGACTTACAGCCTATAAAAATTAGATAAAAATAACAATAGGCGTAGGTAACAATGAGCCAATAACAAGTCCTCACGTTTAGGATTTGAAATAACAATAATTAATACATTCTACTGTTACTTACTTTTACCTAAGCTGTTACCTATTTGGAAACGAGTCATTAATCGTGTGAATCTGTAAGTGGCTCATGTTACTATTTTTCAGCTAAATTTGTATAATGGATCTGTTGATTCACCATGAAATATATTAAAATATTATTAGAGAACTGTAAAACTAGCATAGAGTTTACTTTTCTTCTTTTTTTTTTTTTAAGGGGGTTAAATCATCCAATGACTTCTCCCGCCCGGGTAAGGCGGGAGGGAGTGTCAGACTCTTACTGACTAAAAACCACCCTGTTCCTACTCCTGCACTTCGAGCCGGAGCCCCGGCAACAGTTTACCTTACTCCTGGATATTAGAAACTTATTGGATTTTAGAAACTCAGAAGGCAAGGAAATTAAAGAGTACCATCATTACAATGCAGTTATGTTGTTAACATCGAAATCAAATTACAAAATCAGGACAAGCTAAACCATAATTATTAATTGGAAAGAAAAACAACAAGAAAACATGAATAGGCAAATTGACTTTCAAATAGATTAAAATTCCCTCAACACCAAATACGCCGTCTAAATAACTTCCGAGTTCCCGCCATCTTGACTTTTTCATTTCTCGAACCACAGATTACATTTTCCCGCTACGCGATGACGTTTCTTTTTTTTTGTTTATACATTTAACAATATAATTATGTTGTGAGCCTGTGGCACTTCCAGTCGGTCCTTTTCGAAGTCTATAATTTACATAAAAATTGCGTACGTGAATTTACTGCAGCTGGCGCCCGACGCGGTGGAGTGGTGTGTGAGTGCGTGCCTGCGCCACCCGATGGTCGGGCGGCCGGCCGCGCGGCGCTGGCTGGGCGGCCCCGGCGTGGGCGCCGCGCTGCGGGCGCTGGCGGCCCGCGCCGTGCGCCCGGCGCCGGACCCGCGCGCCGCCGCCTTGCTGCTGGCCTGCGTGGCGGACGCGCCCACGGGAGGTATCGCATACTTTGGTCGCCAGCGAGGGTATACGTGTGTAGTACGGACGTAGCGGGCGGTGACCGGACCTTGTTGTCACAGAGCTTCTGGTGAGCGAGAGCAGCGTCAGCGAGGTGGTGGACATAGTGGGTGGCGCGCTGGAGGCGGCGGCGGGCGGAGCGCTGGAGGCGGTGGGCGGAGCGTCGGAGACGGCGGGCGGAGCGCTGGAGGCGGCGGGCGGAGCGTCGGAGGCGGCGGGCGGAGCGCTGGAAGCGGCGGGCGAGGCGCTGGAGGCGGCGGGCCAGGCGCTGGAGGCGGCGGGCGAGGCGCTAGAGAGCTGCGCCATGCTATGCGCGCGCCTGGCCACGGCCCAGCCGCGCCGCGCAGCACGTCTGGCGCTGCCGCTGCTGCGACTCAACGCGCGCCTGCCGGTTAGTGTCGCGTATCATTACTGAATTATGTATTTTATAAACATGTTTAATTAACTTTATTATTTGGTTTTACGTTATGTTTCGTCGTGTGAGTGAGGTTACGGGAGGCCAAATCTCTCTCCCTTTTTTCTTTTATAATTTCTTTATTATCATAAAAAGCATACAGTCATTATAAAACAGACACGGTCAGTTTACAAGAAACATGATATAAATATGGCCATGCAGGCTAACGCACCTATTTTAGGTCTTTATATTACATTCGTATAATACTCACAGTTTTTTTTCTTTACAATGTAGGTACACAACACTATTACACAAGTTATTTAGTAAATCAACAATAACGCGTCTTTTGAACCAGACACACTTTTTTACACAATAATTTTCCACCAATATATGTAATTAACAGTTAATTACTAATAATAATAATACTATTATAAAGCAACATTGATATCATCGGCATCCGCAAGAAACTATCTCAGATACCCACCACATATGAAATATAATTTATTGCACCGGCGCAAGCGCGTCATCATTACTATCAGATTCGGCGAGTATGTAGTGATGCGGTAGACGGTATCGATTGTAAGTATCGACATACGGTAGTGTCGATAAACGTGATAACCCGATACTAGATATTAATTTATTTTTGTGATTTGTATTTGTGTATTTATAAAATGTTAATGTTACTTTATAAATAAATTTTTTTACTGTAGGAAATTTAATCTGCAGGTGAAGAGTTTTGAGATTCGTACAGAATGGAGTATTATATGCAATTTTTAAAGCTTTATTTTGCAGAACTTGCAATTTTTGCAAGTTGGTTTCGCAAGTGCTGCTCCAAACGGGTGCAGCATAAGTGAAACATGGCCTAATCAGTGTTGTGTATATTTTAAGTTTAGTACTAGCGCTTAAATTACATTTCCTATTCAAAATAGAACTAAGAGCACCCATCGCCTTAAGTCCTTTTGCTTTCGCTTTTTCAACATGGAAAGTCCAGTTCAATTTGGTATCAAGATTAACACCAAGGTATTTAACTGTTCTAGACCATGGTATACGATGTTCGTTGATAACTAAAGTACGATCAGGAAGTTTACGTTTTCTCGAAAACATAATTGCTTCAGTTTTGGAACTGTTCAACTTTAGTTTCCATCTAGTGAAGTAGTCAGCCAGCAATTCAATGGACAGTTGAAGCCTGCTTATAATTAGGTTTTCATCATTAGATGAGGTGTACGATGCAGTGTCGTCAGCAAAGCACGCTAAACTGGTTCGAGGTTGTTTAGGTATGTCGTATAAATACGCCAAAAATAATAGTGGTCCTAAAACGGAACCCTGGGGAACTCCAGCAGGGATTTGTAAGGACTCAGATTGAGTTGAGCCAATGTGCACTGACATTTTACGATCAGAGAGGTAGGACTGGATGAGTTTAATTAGTTTAACAGGTACCCCACACAACAAAAGCTTATGAAATAAACCATTATGCCAAACCGTGTCGAATGCTTTTTCAACGTCTAATAGCACCATGCCAGTTGATTGTTTCAAGTTCAGATTATGCGAAATGTGTTCACTAACGCGAGCAAGTTGTTGTATTGTAGAATGTGAATTTCGAAAACCAAACTGCTCAGGAATAAACTGACACTCTAGATGGGTCATCAGACGCTCATAGATAATGCGCTCGAAGAGCTTAGCAAGTGACGGTAACAAGCTAATCGGGCGGTAATTAACAGCAAACGAATGGTCTTTCCCTGGTTTGGGCAGGGCAATTACTTTAGCTGACTTCCAATAACTAGGAAAGTAATGTAGTTTCAAGCACGCGTTAAACAGTTTAGTCAGGAGAACAATACATTTTCGGGGAAGGTTTTTTAAAAGAATGTTATGTATGTTATCATAGCCAGGTGCCTTGCGGTTTTTGAGTTTGCGTAAATAAACACTTATCTCACGTGGGCGCACTAGTTTGATTAGACATTCCTTAGCAGCAGTCGTATTAATAAGTTCCATCGACGACTGAACCAGTGAGGATGCCTCAGCATCAGACCATTCAGCGGTTAGACTCATATTATTTATAAATGTATTCGCTAACTCGTTACACTGATCAGCCACGGATTTGGTTAATTGATTATTTGATTTTTTAAGAGGTGGTATAGTAGATGATTGATTTTTGAGGGACTTAGCGATACGCCATAGGTCATTATGGGAATATCAACCTTTGACATTTTATCCGACCAAATTTTATCATTGAAAATTTGTACAGCAGTTTTTATTTTACATTGTAATAGGTTAATTTTTGTCTAAGAATTTTGCGTTCAACAGCATTATTGGTTCGTATTTCGCGACCTTTTAAATTATTTTTAGTTTTAATCATTTTTTTTATAAATTTAGGTAATGGTTTAGGCTTATACTCAATTCTAACCTTAGGAATGAAGTAATCTCTAGCCTTAGTGATTTCATTAGTTAGCTTAGCTACTTCATTCTCGATTATATTTACCGAATCAATAGTTTTACTTATTAAGGAAGTATTGTTATTTAAATAAGTTCGATATTTTTGCCAGTCCGCGGAACTATATTTATAATGCATGTAAATTTTTCTTTCAACTGACATGCACATTGATACTAGTACGGGCAAATGATTGGACGAAAGAGCGGTAATTGCTTTTAACTTTTGAACGCAGGGCAAATTGGAAGCTATAACAAGATCAGGTGTCGATGGTTTGTTGTTAACACAATAATGTACCAGAGTTGGGATAGATGGTGCGTAGATACTGTAGTTGCGATCAAGCATGTGCTCAAAAAGGACTTCTCCGCGACGATTAGTGTCACCCACACAGCACCAATGGGGATGGCGGGCATTGAAATCGCCTAATAACATAACCCTCCTGCCAGAGTTTAGTAAAGTTTCTAGATCATTAATCAAAATATCAAGATTAGGTGATTGGTATACAGAAAAAACTAAAACTTTTTGGAAAGACACAGTAATTTCAATACCCACCGCCTCCAAATGCCCGAGAACAGGTACACAGACTTGCGAGTGAGGTATATTACTTCGTATTAGGATAGCCACGCCTTGACCACGACCGTCGTGACGCTTATCTTGACGATAGCAACTATATCCCGGAATATGGAGAGAAACATGTTCGTTAATTCTGGTTTCATTAATAGCTATTATATCTGAAGATAAATCACAAACAGCCAGATCTATAAGCTGAGACAATTTTTCACGAATGCCGTCCGCATTCCAGTATAAAATGCGAAATATATCAGACTCAAACACAGTGACCTAGGTGAGTAAGTACTAGAATAACTTTGTCCATCATAGTGGGACATGTTAGAAACTGAGTTTTGATACTTTTTATGATGTTAAAGATCTGAAGCATCTCGGTGGTGATTTCTTCGCTTCCTGTGGTAGTTTCGAACTCAGAAATATATGCAGTTCTTCTAGAATCCATTGGTGCTGATACGACACTGGCCCAGGTGCGATCACTTAGTACAGGTCGTGGCTGCATTCTAACTGGAGCTTTAATTTCCTTTGGGACTGGCATAGTCAGATTAGCTGGAATAGACTTTTGGGTCGGAATTGTATTATTAGGTACTTTCTGCGCTTGGCGCTTTGCTTGTATTTGGTCCAAGCGCTGTAGGTATTCAAGTCTTGCAGGACATTGGCGGTAGTTTGCCGGGTGATCTGCTTTGCAGTTACAGCACTGAGCCGTTTTGGTTCTGTCTTTCTTAACACAACTGCTGGTAGCATGATCACCGGTGCACTTTACGCAGCGTTCGGGCAGATTACAATTTTTAGATGCATGTCCAAATCTCTGGCATCGATAGCATTGGGTACCAAAGTTGTAGTTAGGCTTAAATCTCTCAATTTTTACGGCACAGTTACACAGGTACTTAATTTGTTTAAATTTAGTGATTTCTGTTCCGGTAGGGAGCTGTACCAAAATTGGTGGGCATGTGGATGTGTTGGATGACGACGACATACGCTTTAAAATGGTCACAACGGCATTGCTGAACCCAAGGGTTGCTAGTTCCTCACTAACGGAGTCAACTGCCTCAGTAGGGAGGCCTCGAATGACGACCTTGTGTTTTCTCTCTTCCTTTCGAGAGTGGAGTTCGAATCTCTAGTTCGAATCTCTCTCCCTAATCCTCAAATCTCCTAGGCAATAGTACGTAGCGAGTAGTGGCATAGCGGATGCAGTAGTGTTGTGTCTCAGCTGGGCGGCGGGCGCCTGTCGAGCGGCACGTGGCACGAGGTGCGCTCGTCCTGGCAGGACTGCGTGGCCGCGCTGGCGCCCCGCGACCTGGCGCCCTTCCTGCACGGCGCCGCGCAGGCGCTGTATGACCTACTATACATGTACGCACTTGTTATTGAAATATTATTCTTGCCGAGCTACGTTCGGGACCGTGTCGATGTTGAGGAATCAAAATGAAATGTGTATTTCTTTCAGAAGTAACAGCCGTGTTTTGGACACAACGGAAATCGAAAACGTATTGTGCTTATGCCCTTACCTGTTCGAGCGGTGCGACGAAGGCGACGAGCCCGTGGACGTGGCCGCCGTGGTCCAGTTCACCCGCGACCTGTTCCGCGCCGCTGCGCCCCCCGCGGCCCCGCGCCCGCGCCTGCAGTACTGCGCGCTGCGCTATCTCGCGATCACTGCGCAACTCAACTGCATCTTCGACGACGACGAAATCATGGCGGCCATTATTAAGGACGCGCACGCCACGGACGTGAAGGATATTTGCAAGGAGGACTTTCTCAGTTATGCGAACGAAATCCTTCTGCGAGCGATATATTTGCGTATCATGTTTTCGCACAAGATGAGCTCGCCCGACGACGATGACGCTTCGACCGACAGATCTCGGTGCGACGTTTTACTGGCGGATGACTACTTACTGGGTGAATTCTGTGAGGTCATGTATGACTACGCAGTCATCGAAACACTGCACGAGGCGTACGCATTCGTAAGTATCGGACCGGGTGGCGGGGCCGGCATGGCGGGCGGCGCCGGGCTCACGAGCTATGTTGCAGTGGCCGCACTACGAGCTACTGCGCCGGGCCTGGGAGGCGCTGCGCGGGGCGCTGCAGGCCGCGCTGGGCGCCGCGGGCCCGGCGGCGCTGCAGCGCGCGGCGCGGGCGCTAGCGCAGCGCGCGCTGGAGGTGGGCTACTTGTGGGCGCTGGCGCAGCGCGCGCTGCACCGCCTCGAGCCGGGCCTGCAGCCGGGCGCCCTCGACTGCGCGGCCCAGGACCTCATGTCCGGGAACGGATTCTTCCACAGCCTGCAGGTAAGCGGCGGGCGGGCGGCGCAGGCTGCGCTGCGGACGGAGTAGTGAATGCGCTGGTTGCAGGTGCAGGCGAGCGCGGACGAGGCGCTGCGCGTGCGCCTGCTGGTGGCGCTGCGCAGCTGGAGCGCGGCCACGGGCGCGGCGCCGCTGGAGCCGGCGCCGGCCGCGGAGCGGGACCTGGACCTCTTCGTCGCCGCATACTACGCGCAGCCGTCGTCCATGCTCTTCGACAGGTTCGGTCTAGTCTTCTATATCTAACGATACCTACCGGACCACTATAATTCACAAAGTATTCTTTTCTTACACGACAAAATAAAAAAATCTAAATCGAAAATAATATTTTTCATAGTCTGTCGTTAAATCATGTTTATGAATTTATTCACAGCTCCTCCCCGTAGGTGATTTTTTTTTAAGGGGGGAAAATCATCGAATGACTGCTCCCGCCTGGGTAAGGCGGGAGGGAGTGTCAGGCTCTTACTGACTAAAAACCACCCCGTTCCTTCTCCTGCACGTCGAGCCGGAGCCCCGGTTACCCGTTAGGTTCTCCGCGACTCCGAATCGGCACCGGCCCTGTTGGGCCCCATCTGTGGTGATCTGATGGGTCTTTGAGGCGCTCGCGGAGCGCTCGCGGAGCGCTCGGCGCCGTACGCTCGGGTCTGTTTCTGGTCGGACGGTGAGCCACCCATGCTCTATGTCCGCAGGCCCGCGCTTACGGTGGCCGGAGATCGTCCCGCGATCCCCGACGCCCGGTGTGTCCTTCGCGATGGCTGGGTTGCGAGGAGGTAGCGCTTCGCTGCCTCACGCGTCCCGCTTTCTCCTTAGCTAGCATAACTGCTTCGCAGGGCATTCCTCAGGGAAGTGATCGGCGACGGCGATCTCTCACGTCCGGCTCTGGTTCAGATTATGGTATGGAGCGTGGGATGCCGTCTCCTCCTTCTGCGAAGCAGTTATGCTAGCTAAGGAGGAGGCGGGGCGAGGGAACGAACCTCCTGACGCCCCGGCCGTCGCGAGAGACTCCGGGCGTCGTCGCAACGCCGCAACGCAAACTGCCGATTTTAGCGTTGTGGCGACGCAACGCGGTTATGTGTTCCGGCCACCGTACCGGTTCCGTACAGGAGTAGGAACGGGGTGGTTTTCAGTCAGTAAGAGTCTGACTCTCCCTCTCGCCCTGACCCGGGCGGGAGAAGCCATTGGATGATTTTCCCCCGTCAATAAAAGCATTCTTTTAAAAAAATATTCAAAGTACAGTTTGCACTTTCCTACGATTTTATTATATATATATAGAAGAAAGAAAGAAAAAACATTTTTTCGACACACACACAGATATAAAAAAATACAAAAATAAAAAGAAAAGAACAAATAAATACACATATTTATATAGACATAGAAAAAAAACACATAGAAACTACAGAGTATAACAACACAGTGACAATAGAATAATAACACAGTAATTAAAAAGTAATAAAAACAAGACATAAATAAATAAATAACATTTAACGTCGCGTGCCTTGCCAAAAGGGCCTCCATCTCAGTATTAAGTTGAGCGTACATGCCCAACGCTGAGTTAGATATAAGAGCTATATATGTATAGATAAATAACCCCGGTAGAGCAGTGTCAGTAGAGCCCACCCTGTCAAGAGCGATTAAAGCAGCTTTGTTTTGTACGCGGAAGGACATTGCATTGTGATGCCGCGGCGACGAACTGCATCGAGGGACGTAGGAGTGAATCTCCGGCAAGTTACGTGCCTCGACGCCGACAGTCAAATTGTTTTTGAGTCGCTGTTTAAAGCGTGCGCAGGGTGGCCGCCTCTGAGTATTATATTACGAACCGAACAGAAACGTATCGGAGTGCTCGTGGGCGGACGTCGCCAACAACGCGGCCGTGCTGGAGCTCATGGCGGCCACGGTGGAGGCGCGCGGCTGGCAGGCCAGCGCCGCCGCCTGGGACTTCGTCAACATCGCGCTGTGCTCGCTGCTGGGCACCGCGCGCCGCTCGCTGGCGGCCTGGGGCAGCTCGGCGCTGGCGGCGCTGCTGGTGCCGGCGCTGCGCCTGCTGCGCGCCGCGGCCGCCTTCGTGCGCGACCTGGCGCCGCGCTGCCAGCGCCAGGAGCCGGCGCCGCACGTGGCGGGGCTGGCGCGCGAGTGGCCCGACATCTTCGCGCCCGACGTCAACTACCACGTCTTCTCCATCGTGCTGCACGCGCTCGGTGCGTACCCTCCGACCGTCCGCTTTAAGGCGACTACGCCAATAGGGATGGCTGTTCCCGTACCGAATATGAATGACCATTTTTTATTTTTCTTTTATCGATATGTGCTCGATGTTATTCAAGCGTTACATAGGATTCATTCTTGTCTGTAGATTTTATCGATTAGATAATTCAATCGATATTTTTACACGATTTAATAAGCACTTTATTTAATTATATGTATCTAGTCAAGCTGGGGATAAAACTGATAAAACTGATACTGATGTATAGTATAGTAATATAGACTAAATTGTAAATTTGTAACCTCAGTAATAAAGGCTTATTTTATTTTATTTATTATCTAGTGAAACATCAATTCAAATACCAATGTCATCCACAAAAAGTGGTAATTGAGTATTTTAAACAATTTCAACAGGGATGTAAAGTACTGGGTACATAATATTTTGAGTGGAGATCAGCACGTGGGCGTATCGGTTGCAGAGTGCTGCGAGGGCCCGATGACGAGCCCGCAGGTGGAGGTGGTGGGCGAGCTGGTCCGCTGCGCGCCGCTGCTGCAGTGGGACGCGCTGGCGCCCGAGCACCGAGCGCCCGCCGCGCCGCTGGCCCTGGAGCGTCTGGCGCGCGCCGCCGCCGCCGCGCTGGGCGCCGCCGCGCCGCCGCCGCGCCTGGCGCTGGCGCGCGCGCTGCTGGCCAGCCTGGCGCGCCCGCTGGTGCTGGCCGACGCCGAGCGGCTGGCGGCGCGCGAGGCGGCGCCGGCGCACGACGCGGCCGTGCTGTGTCTGGACTACCTGCACGCCGCCTTCGTGGCCGCCCACGACCTGCTGGACTCCGCGCTCGGCTCTGTCGTGTAACTATCCTCTGTCCGCCCGCTACTCGTACTTCTATCACCATGTTTGTATTTCTGCTGTTCGAAGTGATATATTAATATGTATTTACTATTGCATTGCATACGCAGGGTGGGCGAGGGCACGTGCGAGCTAGTGCCCGGCACCGACTCGTACTGCGTGGCGCTCGGCTGGCTCTTGCTGGTGGACGCGCAGGCCGAGCTGTGTAGCCTGGCGCGCGGGGACCTGGTGGCGCACTATGTGGTGTGGTACCGCGAGCGCCAGTACGCCGAGCTCGTGCTGCGCGCCGCGCTGCGCCTGCTGCCGGGCGCCGTGCTGGCGGGCGCGGCCGACAGCACGGGCCCGCAGGCCGGCGCGCCGCAGCTGGCGCAGGCGTTCCTGCGCGCGCCGCGCTGGGCGTGCGGGCGGCGGCGCGCGGCGCGCTGGTGGGGTCGCTGGCGTGCCGCGCGCTGTACACGCTGCTGACGGGCCCGGGCGCGGCGGGCGCGCGCGGCTGGTGGGGCGCGGCGCCGGCGCGCGCGGCGCGGCTGCTGGAGCGCGTGGTGGTGCAGTTCGTGGCGCCCGAGGCGGCGCGCCAGCAGCTGCGCGAGCTGGCGGCGCACGCGGCCGAGCTGGCCGACACGGCCGTGGAGATCTCGTGGGGCGCGCGCGAGGTGCGCGCCGTGTACTGCGTGGACGAGCGACGCGTGGAGCTGCGCGCGCGGCTGGCGGCGGCGCACCCGCTGGCGGCGCCGCGCCTGGAGGCGGGCGGGCCGGGCGCGGGCGCGTGGCTGCAGCTGTACGTGGCGCAGCAGGGCAGCGTGCTGGGCGCGGTCCGTCTGTGGGCGGGCGCGGTGGGCGCGCGCGTGGAGGCGGCGCCGCAGTGCTACATCTGCTACTGCCGGCTGCACCCGTCGTCGGGCCGCCTGCCGCGCGTGCCGTGCCACCAGTGCAAGAACAAGTTCCACAACCTGTGCCTGGTACGTCCGCGCGCCGCCGTGAGTCTCGTCTCGAACGATGCGCCCAGTAATACGGTCCTTGATTTTCTTCCAGCGCAAGTGGTTCGCCACGAGCAACAAATCCAACTGCCCGCTATGCAGAGCGGCGTTCTGATGTCCTGGCCGCCGGCCGCCGGGCGAGACGTCGCGGTGTGCGACGACCTGTGTATATATCCTTATATACTTTAGCCCCTTATAATCAATTAAACTACGAAAATTAATTTGAAATAAACAAAACGTTTCTTCATAATGTAAATGATTACTAAACCAGCGTCCCGCGACTTCATACGCCCAAACTAAGTTCTTCCCGTTCCCCTAGGATTTTTATTAAATCCTTCGACAAAAATGCATGCCTTGATTCTAAGCTACTCCCCAATTATGTATCAATCCAGTGCATATTAGATGTACTTAATTCTCGGGCGCAGTAAATTCAATGTAGTTGCATCGATAGAAAACTAAAATAGATAAATCAAGACAAGGATCATAACGAAAAGTTATCCTTTTAGGTTAGATAAGTTATCTTGTCCCGCTTTCCTCAGGCACTCTTCCAATGACTTACAGATAGGCCGCGACCTTAATTAGGCAGGTTCTCTGTCCATCTGGTGAGTGAACGTCCTGCGCAGCGCTTGCTAGTACCTACATGGCTTCCACTCGAGAAACTTTCTGCCCCAGCGGTGACAGTACACAAATTTAAAAAAGTATATATCCTAGAAATACTTGAAGTAAGCAATATCCTAGCCTACATTTGGTTGATGTACAATAAACTTAAGCTCGTCCCCAAGCTCGATACAAATTTGCTCAATCTCCTTTTGTACAGCCGCCAATTGCAGAACAATACCCAATAAGAAAACAATATTAATACGTCAAGCAGCGCCGCGCGTGTTAAATTTTGTAACTATAAATTGGGCATAATGACCTCTCTGTTACATTACGGCTAGAGCTATATTGAATAACGCATAGCTCCGAAAACTATCTGGCTGATTTTCACTCAGCCGTATTCAATTCGGCTAATCGTTTAGCCCATAGATATAATAAAGAAGGAGATATGGTGTGGAGTCAAAAATGTATGCAAAACCGAAGCCACAACTGCCCCTCCATTAACTCTGACAACGACGAATAAGTGCACACGCGGCATCGATAACTCAGTAACTCAAATATAAGCCTTATTCTTTAACCGACAGCGCACATTATCCAATGATTTACTCACACTAAAACAATTTGTCCCTGTGTGTTAGGAGCGGGATCTAACGTCGCCGTAGTGACTTGACGATATCGATAGCTCCCGATGAATATATCGATTAATTTATTACAAAGGTTTTGGAAATAAAGTAAAAACGATATGAAACCAACAAAATTTATTTAAATATAATAAATATTTTATTTAAAAAAATAATTACAAATCAAACGCCGTATTGTATTGTATGTAGTTATAATAATATAATTTGGATAAGAAGGGATCGCATTCTTGGTTCATTAATAAAGTCTTATAAAGTCTTTATTAATAATGTGGTGTATTTTTCCATGACTGCTTTTATTAATAATTTTATGTGGTTATTCATACGGCTCTGTGAGTACAAAATTATGACTATGCGATGCTGATCATTATAATGTATACAAAGCTAATGGTTCATTTATGATTCATTATGGTTATGGTTCATTTATCAAAGTAAAATACACTTCTGGACACATCTATTGGGCCACCTTGTATTTTCAGTTTCGTTTGGTCCTAGCTAAAATTCTATATTAGGTCGAGCAAAAATATTCACAATTTCATTCAGGTCTTTTTTTTCGAACACAGAGTTTAAAGAAACAAAAGACAATTTGGAGCCTGTTTGTTGATATCAAACAATCGAATACTAAGTAAACTTGGTTTTATTGGTTTACTTGGATTTAATTCTTGAAAAAGTGATTGATATCTTTACTTTTGCAACAAACATTACTTATTCTTAACATTAAGGTGAAGTCGCCGCCCAAGCTGTGGCACTTATTCAGGCCGGACACAGCCAAATAAACGTGAATGCTCAACTTAATTTAAGTCGATCTGCGGTCCGAAATGTTTATCGGAGCTACCTAGAGACTGGCGGCTTTGTTCGTCGCCAAGGAAGGCCACGATCTTCATTTCGTACGCAGTCATTTAAATTGGACACATCAAGATTGGAGCCATGTACTCTTTTCTGATGAGTCTAAAATTGTGATGTAAGGGAGAGCGTTTCGCACAATGCTGCTTTGAAGAGCGGGTTGCTTATGGCGGTGGCTCATGGACTGTCTGGGGCGGTATATCCGCGAGCGGCAAAACTCAACTTGACGTTGTTACAGGACCACGGCTGCCAACATTAAATGCTGAAAGGTACATTCGTGAGTACTTAGAACCTCACGTGATACCATACGCGGACTATGTGGGCCTAAATTTCCTTTTTATACATGATAATGCAAGAGCCTATGCGGCCGGCATCGTCAGGGAATATCTTCGGGATGTGAACATCACAGTTATGGACTGGCCAGCCAGAAGCCCAGACATGAACCCCATTGAGCACACGTGGGACGAGCTAAAAAGACAAGGACTCGTCAGCCATTTGCCCAGACATGCAGGAGTTGAAAACTGCCATAGAAGAGGAATGGGAGATGATCCCTCAAAATTTCATAGAGCGGTTGATAAACTCTATGCCTAATCGTATGAGAGCTGTGGTAGATGCCCATGGAGGCAACACGCGTTATTAAATTAAACCTTTATTTGTTAAAATATGTTTTTTATTCAAAAACAATTGACTTTAACAAGACGCATATCCGATTTGTTAGGCGTAGCTCCATGTCGTATGGTATGCTGAATTCAAATTTAAAACAATACGATCAAAAAAGATTGTATAATGTATCAGTTTTAAAACTGCATCAACAGTTTTTGTTCAATCTAGCAATCATATTTTGGTAGGGGCCATCGAAACCTAAACTCTAAGGTGGGCCAATAGATGAGTCCAGAAGTGTACTAAAACCGACTTCAAAAACAAAAATAAACGATAAGTAAAAACTAAAAAGCAAAAAATAACTATTATTGGTCATACGTACTTACATATACCTTACACACCCACTGATAGGTGAGAAGTCGGTGCCACAAGTTTTACACAAAATTATTCATTAAAACCTTAATAGATACCTAACATTATTAAGCTGTTTACAATTTTATTGTGGATTATTCCTGTGAACATTACCTAAGATATATTTTGTTATGGGTTTGTGGCACCGACTTCTAACCTATCAGTGGGTGTGTAAGCTATGTGTAAGTATGTATGACCAATAGTTATTTTTTGCTTTTTAGTTTTTACTTTTCGTTTGTTTTTGTTTTTGAAGGCGGTTTTTTTAAACGCAGTTTTTTATTTTTAAATAAAAATATACTTACCTATATATACTTTTTAGTTTCGTACTAGAATATATTATATTATGTACAATCCACATCGGTGCCAAGTTTTCATCAATACATATTATTGAAGCTCAAATACCAGGTAGCTACTTACTGTTAACCATTGTTCTCTTAGCTATCATACTACTTCATTATTGAACATTTAGTGACAACCACACCATACCTAGGTGTAAAGTTCTCATCAATACATCATCATCATCATCAACAGCCTATAAATGCCCACTGCTGAGCAAAGCCTGTTCTCACACGGAGAAGGTTTGAGCATTAATCACCACGCTTGCTCAGTGCGGGTTGGCGATTACAAAATTATAATTAGAAATTATAAGCCCAGGTTTTCTCACGATGTTTTCCTTCACCGTTTGTCAGTGGTGTCTAAATAATCTTAGAAAGAAACATATAACTCGGAAAAACTCACATTGGTACTTGCCGTTGGTAGGTTTCGATCCCGCATTTGTATGCATGAGAAGCCAGCGTCTTAAACCTCCGGGCCACCACGACATCAATACAAATTAATCAAACTCAAAAACAATGTAGCTACTGTTAACCGTTGAGTTCTCTCAACTATGGTACTACTTCATCATCAGAGCCATTGGCAATCACATACCACCTAGGTATAAAGTCCTCATCAATACATATTAATCAAACCCAAACACAAGATAGCTACTGGTAACCGTTGAGGAGTTCCCTCAACTATGGTAGTACTTCATCATCAGACCCTTATTGGCAATCACATACCACCTAGGTATAAAGTCCTCATCAATACAAATTAATCAAACCCAAACACAAGATAGCTACTGGTAACCGTTGAGGAGTTCCCTCAACTATGGTAGTACTTCATCATCAGACCCTTATTGGCAATCACATACCACCTAGGTATAAAGTCCTCATCAATACAAATTAATCAAACCCAAACAATGTAGCTACTGTTAACCGTTGAGGAGTTCCCTCGACTGCCTATCGACTCCATCATCAGATCAGCTCCAGACCGTTATCAGATTGTAGTGGTTTTAAATACTTGACGAAAAAATTAACAAATGCAATAGTCGCCCGTATAATTTTTAAAAGTTCCCCTCGGTTTCCCTGAGATTCCATCATCAGATCCTGACTTTATGACAATGGGATCAAATGACAAACCTACCCTTTCAAACAAGAAAAGAATTTTTGAAATCGGTCCAGGCGTCTTCGAGAAATCGAGTAACAAACATAAAAAAAAACATACAGTCGAATTGAGAACCTTCTCCTTTTTTGTGAAGTCGGTTGATAACCATTACAAGTAACCAATTATAACTATTTGCATTGCAGTCGACTTTCTTACCGATAGACTTTGATAAATCTCCACGACCACATCACTATCTCGCTCAAATACGGCCGGCGGATTTGAGCAGCGGGTGCACCATGTGACTTCGCGTCTTGTAGAGCGTTTCGTTAAGTCACTTTTACATTGCTGGTTTCGTTACTCAGTGTTACACTAAGGTGGTTGTAAAAGAGCAATGTATTAATGTAGATATAATAAATAATACAGTCTGAGTAATATATAACATAACATAACATCACGCCTTTTATCCCGAAGGGTAGGTAGAGGTGCACATTATACCACTGTACAATGTAACACCCACTTTTCACTATTTATGTTATGAGTCCCATGTAATAGGGGGTGAGCCTATTGCCATATACCGGGCACAGTTCCAGACTTCGTGCTACTACTGAGATTTTATTAAAAACCCAGTAATACTTTGCCCGACCCGGGAATCGAACCTGAGACCCCTTACCCGGCAGTCGCAATTGCAACCACTCGGCCAACGAGGCAGTAATACAGAAATATAAAAATAAAGTAATAACATGTTGTTTTTCGTGATTTTTAAGATAAATATTGTAAATATTTGTTCTTACACATGGTAACCGATGCCATGACTTCTACAATTATTTTTTTTTGGTTATATTAAACACCACCAACGAAACCACTGCACAAGGTGGCATTTTATTGTTTGTTGTACGATCACGGGTGACAACAGACGGTGACGGCCATATTCTGTTACATTGAGCGGAACGCTCAATGGGGATGATGACAGGGTATGAAATTAAAATATAATTAGTCCGTAAGTTAGGTAATGAAAAAATATTAGACACGTATTTTTTTATTTTGTCGTATAATAAAACAATACTTAGATAAAACGAATCAAAGTTAAGGAGTGGGGGCTAAAACGTCATTTCTTAGTATAAAATGTACTGAGAAGTGACGTCACGCGACATTTCAAATCAATATATCTTCGAAACTATTCGTTTCTGTGAGAAAATAAAAAATACGTGTCTAATGTTTTTAAATAATCTACCAGACGGACATTAAAATAAAAATTAGTCGTCTACCCACCGACACGCCCCCTTGCCACTTCTCCTTCTTTAATATTTCTGTGGTTTAGCCATTGTATTACAAAACGTCTCTGGTTTGCTAAACGCCTAGCCATAATGTAACACGGCGGATTAATCAATTTGCCTGCGATATAAAATGTTTTTTAATAACTCGTCAAAACAAAATAGGGGTTTCCCTATTCAACAACCACCAACGAAAATTTACTAAAATAAAGCATTTTATCATTTACTTAAATTGTTCATAAGTAATTTCTAATGTTCTAGACAAAAGTTTGAGTATTTTATTAAAGTAGGTAAGCAGAAATAGTCAAGAGGTTGAGAAATCGTGTTTTGATGAAATTTTATGTCTTGTTCATGGTGTCACTGTAAGAGTAATCGTTGAATGTTGCTTGTTGTGAACTTTTATTTGGTTTGTGTGTTAATTGTGAATGCTGTGGCTGATTTTCAATATGTTTTGGACAAGGACACCGCTGCTAGGGCAGTTGCTCTGCTGCAGGAGGGAGAGTTTTATAGAGTTGTAGTAATTTGTGATTGTGTATCGCGAGGAGGTAACTGAAACGTGTGAAAGTGTTATTGAGAGATTCCTAAATCATTTTGCGATTCTTAAAAATGCAGAACTAATCCTAAAGTTGCTTAAAATTACCAGTATATGAGGTTTTTTGATAGTTAGGAACTATACTGCATTCTGCTAGTACATTGTCATTGATCCAACCAACCTTAGTCAATACTATGAAGATGCCTAACGTTCCAAGTTATGTTTTTTTAACCCAAACTGAACAAAACTCACAGTGTAGCTCGTTTAAGCTGTGATCACAAACATTGAAACTGAGCCATGAATACTGGAGGACTCTACTCTTCAGAGATGAAAGATAGGTCGACTTTTTTAGTATTTACAGAGAGATACTAGTGTAACGAAACAAATAAACGATTTATGAACCTTGCATTCATGGAACCAACCTTTTCCTTGGTTGCAATGTTATGGTCTTAAGTGGAATTCGCTTAGTAAGCTAAAGAAAGCTGATAATTCTGAATAAGGGTTATTATGTAAATAAATAAATAAATTATTAATAAATAAATAAATGTACCAGCTGGGAGTTACATTGAGCAAGTATCTCAACCTCATGGCATTTCATATCCATAAAAAGTTGATTTAATTCATCATCATCATCAACAGCCTATAAGTGCCCACTGCTCAGCAAAACCTCTTCTCACACGGAGAAGGTTTGAGCATTAATCACCACGCTTGCTCAATGCGGGTTGGTACATATTCACATACACATGTACATTATGGTTTAATTAATTAATTGAAATTGCTGATGTCTAATTGTTCGTCCGCGAGCTACTTAAGGGGCCAATATAGAATACCAGCGCAAGGCTCTCCCATTTCACGGCAGACTTGGGACATGAACATGTGTCCATCAGTACCTACTAATAGAATAACATATCTGTACGATTTAGCAACCGTTCTACGACCGATTCGCCACTGGACTGTTCGTCGACAGGATGATTCATTTATTTCCGTTTCTCCAACAGGGTTTTTCACCTTTGAACATTTCGCCGACAGAACCTTTCATATGCGTAACTTTCGACGACAGCCCTTTTCAGCTTCTAAATGTTTCACCAACACCACTAAAGATCCTTTAGCTACAGACGTTTTCATCTACGACGGCGAATTCGCCATCAATCTTAACACACGCAATGTTACAAAAAATGCACAGATTTGTTCATAGGTCAAAACCCTGTTGGGGAAACGGAAATAAATGAATCATCCTGTCGACGAACAATCCAGTGGCGAATCGGTCGTAGGAGAACGGTTGCTGAATTAATCTGTACCTACATGTCACTTGTTTATTAGCGTGAAATTTTTCTATCTTTCTCATTTTTTTATGAAATGACACAAATTTGATATGACAGCATCAGTTTTTATTTAGCTTAGTAAATGGTGAATAAACATTAATTTCAATTTATAATGTTATTTGTCGATAGGGCATTGATCCCGGTTTACAATAGATACGTTATACATTTGTAGCGTGTCGCTGGAGGACACATCGCGTATTATATAGATAGGCGTCGAAGAGGTTAATCAGATCGTCTGTCCACCTTGAGGGTGGACGTCCTACGCTGCGCTTGCCGGTACGTGGCCTCCACTCGAGATCATTTCTACCTCAGCGCCCGTCGCTACTCCGCGCTATGTGCCCTGCCCGCTGCCACTTCAACTCGCTAATCCGCTGGCCTACGTCGGCGATCTTTGTTCGTTTGCGGATTTCCTCGTTTCAGTTTTATAGATCATCGCTGGTAACACAGAATGATTATGGACTTTCGTCTTGTGGCACTGAGCTATGTTAGACGAGAAGCTGTTGCGTAGTTTCCCGAACGCTGCCCATCCGAGTTGGATTTGACGATTGACTTCCTTCTTGAAATTGGACCTACCTAGCTAGATTACTTGTCCCAGGTATACATATTCGTCAACAATTTCGAGAGTAGACACCCTATTGATATCGGGTACGGCGTTCGACATACCATGTTCATTCGGAGCCCTACCTGTTGAGAAACTCTACGGAGGTCATAGAGCATTGTGCTCAGATCTTCCAGCGAAGAGTGTAGAGAGAAGATCGGGCGACAAAATTGTCGTCCTAGAGCAATGAGTATATACTCGCCGTTGATGTTGATGCCAGATACTTTCAATTCCAAAAGCATGAAGGGTTTTCCAATGCAGCGGTGCAGCTTTGGTGATATGACGTCTCCTTGCTTCGCTACAGAGGAATATCCTAAAAAAAGTTTCTTCGACGGCATTTTGAAAAGCAGTCACCGCATTCTCGGGATTATCTTTTATTTTTGGAAATGAATAAAAATCGCAGGGTGGGTGGTTGAGGGTATACGGTGAGTGACTCAGTAATTCTGCATCTGAGATCTCCAAATAGTAAATTGTTTGCCTGGTGATGTGCGACGAGGCGTTGTCGTATTGAAGGAGGATTCTGCTGCAAGGTCTTTCTGTCGAACTTTTTCCAAGAAAAATGACAAAACAATTATTAGTATACCACTCTGCATTAACCGTTCTATGATCCTCTAAACCAATTGTGGCGTGTCCTTTCGACATTTCGACCTCTCTTCATTTCAGTTGGCAACTCCTCGGATGAAAACACCCACTGAGCCAACTGTCTTTTGGTTTCCGGGTCATAACAATAAGTCCCGGTTTCGTTACCCGTCAAGTATGCCAAACACAGCTTTTGATTCACCTCCGTTAATTTTTTTATTCATTTCTCGTCACCCATCAACACGGCGGAGTTTATGGGATTCGGCCAAGATAGGAGGTATCCAGCGAGCACAAAGCTTTCTGACCGATAATGTTCTTGTAGAATTTCGTGCATTTGACTCATACCAATATCTAGGCTTGTCCGATTCTGCTGATATGTCATTCTTTTGTCTGTCTATAATACGCCACACAACACTAATGTTATCTTCAGTCGTTGCTGCAGTAGGCCACCCCTCACGCAAATCATCAGTGAGATCAGTGCAATCATGTTTAAATTCATTAAACCAGTTGTAAATTGTGGCACGAGATGAGGATCGAAAGTCATAAAAATCATTGCACGAGGATGACGGGCCGAATGTCCCCACCGACCAGTAACAACCAGACATATGTCGTTTTTCATGACTATCATTTGTTATTATAGGGGCTAGTATCAATTAATTATGGGGTAAATTTTATAGTTAATATTAAATGATATCTATTAAAATAACAAACAATTCTATACAAGATCTAATAACTTGGCATTGCACAAAACCTATAAATATAATATAGAATTACCATGGTTCGAGTAACCAGATAGACATCATACACATTATGCACAGCTATAGCAGGCATATCGGCACTACTATGCTGTCAATATAATGAGACCGGTCTCGGTCGGCCTCTACTGGGAAACTAATTATCTAGTGAGCTTGCAGTTGCTGATTGATCCAGTCAATGTCTTCATAAAAACGAGGGTCACTGACCCTCAGTGCTGCTCTCTTGTAGAAGAAGTAATACCATGGTGATACTGAAAAAAAAATATGAACAGTACATTGAGAGCAGAGATGGTATAGCATAACATCTAGGTTTATGTATTGTTCAACTTACAGCATCTCTGTAGAGTAAACAAGCAAATCAGCAAAGGAGTAGACACTGACTCCGGTTCAGCCCATTTTTCAAGCAGCCACGCGGCGTGCAGCGCGACACTCGCGACAATGTACGCCACACACACCGAGCCCGCCGCGCGGAACTTCCGCACCAACACTTCCACCAGACCTGCCTGCATGTCGGAACTATTTTAGTGTGTTGTCCGACTGTTTAACAATGAGTATTTGTAGGCCCCTCTAACTTACACCTTTAAAATGAGAAAAAAATTCATAACCACTAATAAAAACTAAAGGTGCTTCCATATTTTCACTTTTATCGGCATGTACACTCAACTCAATACTGAGATGGAGGCTTTTTTGGCATGAATACACAATGAAATATTATTTAGGTATATCTTGTTTTTGTTAACATTTGATTTCTGATTTATTATGGTATAGTCACTATTTTTTATACTTTGTTGTTTCTTATTTCTTGTTGTTATCATTTAAGTTTTTTTTATTATTTTGTATTTATATAAGTATCTGTACCTATTTTTTTAATAATCTTTGTAGGTATTTGAGTGTGTGCTTGCCTACTGTCGAATAAATGCTTTTTCTTCTGCTTCTGACTCAATAATGTGAAAATATTCAGCTACCTACCTTCCAAGAAGTTTTCTCATGGTTATATCAGTATAAAATAAGTAATTACCTAATTACAATTTATTTAAATCCACATTAGGTCTTAATTTAGTTACTAAATATTGTACTAAATAATGCAGATATTTTCTTACTTGAAACAAATAGGTTGAGAAGAATGTCATTAACATCGTTGTGATGGAGAGTACAAGGAACAAGTCTTGAAATCTACAAAATAACAATCAAATTAAGATGGTTTCTGGATTGTATGCGAGGAGTAGGTAAAGGCACCTATTTAATAAGTAATAAACTATGAAATTGGTCTTACATGAATAGGACAAGTAATCCATCTCGGCTTCTTGGGAATAAGCTTACACAATTAAATAAAAGATCACAGAGCATGAATATAACTTGAAAAAATAAACAAAATGTATATCTAGGCGTAGACAACTTCATTTTTAGTCCCTATCGTGGTAATAAAGAATACCGTACTTAGAAATTCAGTGCAGAAGTCAATAAAATATTTTATCGAATATATATTTACGTTCGCATCGCAACCATGAGTACTTTTACTTGACGCCTTTTTAAGTTTTTACTTCCCCTATACTCTTTAATACTCTGCTTTGGTGGGTATTGACTAATGACGTAGGTGTAGGCAATTCTTTGATTACGCTACAAACACACGTCACACGGGCACTCATTGCGTCACAGAACCATAACTAAAAAACTTTTTTTTCTCCATTCTTTAAAGTTCAAAGTTGATAAACTCTATTTATTATTGACACTGATAATATGATAGAGGTGACGAATGTTCGAGGAATTATAGAACTACTTACTTGAACTAACAACATTAAAACTACTATGGCAATACTTGAATACTCAATCATGCTCTGTGTATTCAATGAAACTACGTCAGCTGTGCTTGTTTTGCGACTCGATTTCTGTTAAAAAGGTACTATTATTGGAATTTTCGGACTATTAAGATTTAAATAAAATTCGGACTATTAAGATTCCGCACAAATAAAAAGAACTCTATTATTAAATAGACAAACTATACTAATTTTTATTTACTTACGAATGTTATGTGGAATAGAAATCATTAAACTAAAGACATTTATTTACTTACTATATTTACTAAAATGAGAAATGATTACTATTTTAAAGATGGAATCTGGTGGAGAGCTAGTGTAACTTTTGGCAACACAAACGGTGAGATAATTCTGTCTCTATGGTCATGAATAAAAATATTAAAAAAAAAGATAATCCTGTCAAGTGTCAAGTGTCAATCTGTCACAGTCATTTGAACTTTGACGTTTACAATGGCATTATTTATTTTGCAATTGCATGATAATATTTCGTAGTGAATACGACCATCTCTAGTATCAATATCAGTAATTAACGATAATTAAACCATAAGTCAGATAAAAGTGATGGGCGGTGACAATGAGCGTGGTCGTTATAGAACGCGTAGTCGTGAAAGGCTTCGGAGTTATGACCGGGGTCGTGAATATCGAGGTCAAAGTAAGGAAGGAAATGGTCGTGATCGTAGCAAAGACCAAAGCGGACGCAACAGCAGTAGGGAGCGAGTGGGCCACAACCGTAACTGGGGAAAAAGCAAAGACGGGGGAAGCAGTAGAGATGAGCGCACGCGCTCTAGAAACCACGATGAGAGCAGACCACCCTTTCGGGAAAGAGAACATGACAGAGGACGCAGTTCCTACAAGGATTACACTGGAGGCGGTCTAGGCGGTGGTTAGTATATCTATTGCATAAATCTTTGCTAATTTTTATGACTAAAAGTATAATTTTGGTGTTTGTTAAGGTGTTTAATATTTACCTAACAGTATTTACATCTCTTCAGGTTTAGGAGGAGGTGGTTCTTCAGTCAGAGGTCGATATAAACCACAAGAGGAAGAATTCTTTGATGCTAGAAGAGAAGAAAGGGAAAGGATAGGTCAAATTGGAGTGTCTTCTGTGTGGGGCAAGTCACCGTTAAGAGCAGAGTAAGTTTTATGGGTTCTGGCCCATCCATGAGAGGTACTATAAAGAGATTAATAAGCATTTTTAATCAAAAAGCAGTAATGATACAAGGATTTAAAAAGAAATGGTTACTAAATAATTAAGTGAAAAATATACTTGTTAGTAAATTCCTTGACAACAATTTTACTTTAGTATAACAAACTACTGCATCACTTCTAACACATTGACTGCTCCTGGATATTTAAAGTAAACTTATAGTTTATGCTTCTATCTTAAACATGAATCTTATTGTATAATTGTATAAAGCTATTTTAACGGTGTCCTGTCAATTTATATATGAAAATATGATGTAGATATGTAAGGAAAGATAAAATTTGAAAAAAGAAGCAGCAGACATAATTTTTAATACTAGAGGCACAAATAAGTTAGCTATACCGCAATTCAGACTGGCCAAGGTACAGAAATCCTTTATGGGGTTAGGAATTAAATGCTATTAAAAAAACACCAAATAGCATACTAGATTTCAATGAAAGTAAATTTGAAACATATATTAAGCACAAATTATGTTATCAATCTTACTACACACTGACAGATTATCTTGAAGATAAGAATGCTTGGCAGCATGTTAGTTCAGCGCCACTGGACAATACTCAAATGTAGTTATATTCCAATAGTAGGTAATTGAATACTTTCATTCTAATGTAGACAATCTAGTTTCCTTATGGCGTCGAGCATTTCTTTCTTTATTATTGGAACAAAGAGTTTCCATTTTCTATACAAGAAAGCACTATTTCTATGGATTGTCTGACAGACTATTACTTATTTTGTATTTGTTGCCGTTTCAAAAGTACCAAAATATGGTTTAATTGAAATAAATGTTTTGACTTTGACATTCACTGGAGAGTTTGTTTGTTTGAATGCACTTATTTCCAGAGATAAGTGCATTCAAACAAACAAACTGGTTTGGGTTAAAAAAATCATTTTACATTATGGATTAGCCCAAATAAATGCAATAGTCTTTGAACATTTTCGTAATGCTTATTTTTCGTTGTGGTGACAAAAAGGTGTAGTTAGGCCGGGGAAGGGGGACACATATTAAATATTTCACTTATCTTCTTTCCGCTAGTTATGAGTCCATATAGTAGGGTCTGAGTATATTGCACACTGTTGTACTGTTGCTTGATAAGTTTTGCACTTGCACAATGTTATTATGTGACTAGCTGTCTTGCAGTTTCACCCATTTCTTGATTCCAAGCTACATGAAACAAACTATCCAACAAAAATAATTATTGAATTGAAACCAGGTTTTAGGTGAATAGTATTGATAAGCATCAGTGTCCAATATAGAGTTTAGTATTAAGTTATGTTTGGTTTAAAAACAGGTCTGAGGAAGAGCAGACACAACCCGAAGTCTCAGGGGGAAGTAAAGCAAAGAAAAAGAATAAAAAGTCTAAGAACAAAGACACTAAAGAGAAACTTAAAAAATTGAAAAAGAAACTAAAAAAAGTAAAGAAAGCAAGGAAAAAAGCTAAGAAAAAGAAAGTTGAAAGTAGTAGCAGTGACTCAAGTGCTAGTAGTGAAGAGGAAGTGTGGGTTGAAAAAGGAAGTAAGTTTTTTATTATTTCTAAGCTGCCAAACGAGCAGATGTTTCACCTAAACCAATGAAATCAACAAAAATTGCTGGTCATAGATCCATTTGTTGCCTAGTAAGCCCCATTAGTGGGGCTAAGGGTACTAGAAAATGTACCAGTTATGTTGTATCGCTGGCGACAAATAGACCTGTTGAAAGTCTAGCTTTTATTTTAATTAAACCATAATTTGGTATGTACGTAACATGCTAGTTTGGCGTGACTGGGTACATAGTACAGAATACATGATAAAGTAGTGTAAAGGATAACTGCTACTCAGAAGCTTTATGTAATGGAGTATTGTAATGGCTAGTTTTATTTACAGAGGAACATGAAATACAATCTGAATCTAAATCATATAAAAAGTGTGACGAAGAGCTGGCAACTGAGGCTTTTGGTCCCACTCCTCGTGTGGGACCTGCCTTAGGTCACAAAGACTTTGGACGAGCATTACTACCTGGCGAGGGGGCGGCCATGGCTGCTTACGTCGCGGAAGGCAAGAGAATACCACGCAGAGGAGAAATTGGACTTACTTCAGATGAAATTGCGTCATACGAGTCTGTTGGATATGTTATGAGTGGCAGCAGGTACCACTTTCATTTTATAGTTATTATTACGTTATGTTCAGTTAATATACTTTCTTCATAATATAAATCATCTGGTCCATCAAAGATTCAGGCAGAATTATTATTACTTCTATTAACTCGCAGGCCAGCGTCAGGTTTTCGCGACCATTTTCTTCTCAGTCTATATTTTGTAAAATACTTCAGAGTACTGTATAAGCACCACAGCTGACGTTAATAATTAAGCTTTATATTCACAACTCTATTACACGCATTTTATAACCTGTAAACGATATCTGCAGACACCGGCGCATGGAAGCAGTGCGCATCCGCAAGGAGAACCAGATCTACTCCGCCGACGAGAAGCGAGCTCTGGCCGCCTTCAGTAAGGAGGAGCGAGCCAAGCGGGAGAACGCCATCCTGGCGCAGTTCCGGGACGTCCTGCAGGCGCGCGGCCGCCGCGACGTCTAGCGCCGCGTCGATCATTAATAAACACGTTTTCAATACTAGACCTTTAATTTCCTTAATCGTATTTATTTATCACAAAGTCTTTTTCTATGCACCTTTTATTTGGTATAATTTACAATATTCACACTAAAACTTTTCATCGAATCAAATAAACAGGAATTTTCACCTAACTAAGAGTTATGCTAAAAATGATATTGTAGTTCCTGTCATTTTACTACTAATATAATTACAATATTTGTGTACAAGAATATGTTAATATAACATACTATCACGGCATACATAAGGTCTGGTTTAGTTACAGAAAATAATAGTAGTCGAATTACCTACTAAATTTTGTGCAGCTAGGCTGTAAGAAGTCAATTCGAACTCTCGAAGTGAGTTCGATCGCATTTTCACCAGGGACTGAAAGCGGTGAGGTTTAACATTACGGTACCGGTATAAAACGAGTGTATCGAAATTAAGGCTATACCGTTATTTAACCTTTAAGTGATATCGGTACCGAAAAACAGATTTAACCGTTCGGTCGGACCGGTGCGAGGAGTGTAGTGCAAATATAAATATAACAGCAGTTTTTAATTTGATATACCTAATGTTTCTGTGGGTGGGAAATGGCGGTAACCGGTAAGCACGCGCCTGTGAGCCTGTAAAGAGAGAAATAGGATGAAGTAACGCGGTCAATATCTCTTGTATACATAGATTAAAAGTACCGGTACCGAAATATACAGGTTTCCATTTGATACCTAAAAATAACGGTACCGAAATAAAGCGGTAGGTATCCCATATTTATCGGTATAACGGTACCTTAATTTTCTGGTTACCTATTTAGGCCCTGATTCTCACTCGTCAATCCGTTGGTCGAGATTATTCTCACAACGAATGACATGGCGGACCGCGATCGCGCTTACTTCCAGAGTTCGAATTGACATCTTACAGAACAGCCTAGCAGAACTGAAAGAAGACGGGCGGGAATTGGCCTGAAGTCGTACAGCATTCAGATATTTACATCAAACAAGTCTATCTGTCTCAGGTTTCATTAATGACAGTAATACCTTAAACAAACAGTTTTTTCAATTATATTGAATCGATACATCCTAGGAATTGACTTAGGTATATTTCTGTGAATCTAAAATATAAATCTGTGAGGTATACAATGGTAATTGGTTCAGCCAATAGCGAGATAATCCCGCACACACATACATCCATACAGATCAAACTGAGGAGCTCATTTTTAATTGACTTCAAAAAGAAAAACTTACGATTAAAAAATGTACATCAACACTCTTTTTTTTGAAGTCGATAAGTAATATATTAATACCTCCTCCTCGGTGTAACAAACACTTTTCTGAAAACCGCATATAAATCGGTTCAGACAAACATAAATAAAATACATATGTTTTATAAAAAAATCTTTGTTAATTAAAACTTCTTTCCTGGATTTATGAGATACGCTTTATGCTATCGATTGGATATTTATTGCTTGGGGCATGCATAAAGAAAATATTGTGTGATTTATTTCTAATTACATTCTAGATTGTATAATAAATATGCTGTTAATATGGTTCTCTTATAGCATTAAAGACATTCTTAAAAGTAATAGTAAGTACTTAGTAAGTTTAATTTTGAAGTCGGTTAAAAACAAAGTATAACTTCATTTCTGTGTCAAAAATATTAAATTACATCAAGTTACTGGAAAAGACCGCAATAGTTTTTTGGGATTGATTATTTTAATGAATAAACTGTAACAAGACGTTAAAGTATTTGTGTAGTTACAGGCCGATTACTCCTTACAAACCCGCCAGTTTCCTTTAGCGTACACCATTAAAAATAAAAAACCAAGTACATTTTATATAGTTAATGTCCCACATTGAACGGAGAACTTTCAAATAGTGGGTGATGTCGAGGCAAACATACTAAATATGTATAAGACGTGCTCGTAGTGCGCCAGGCGGGCGCGGGCGGCGGCAGGCACTAGAGGTCGTGCAGGCGCTCGTAGTGCGCCAGGCGGGCGCGGGCGGCGGCAGGCACTAGAGGTCGTGCAGGCGCTCGTAGTGCGCCAGGCGGGCGCGGGCGGCGGCAGGCACTAGAGGTCGTGCAGGCGCTCGTAGTGCGCCAGGCGGGCGCGGGCGGCGGCAGGCACTAGAGGTCGTGCAGGCGCTCGTAGTGCGCCAGGCGGGCGCGGGCGGCGGCAGGCACTAGAGGTCGTGCAGGCGCTCGTAGTGCGCCAGGCGGGCGCGGGCGGCGGCAGGCACTAGAGGTCGTGCAGGCGCTCGTAGTGCGCCAGGCGGGCGCGGGCGGCGGCAGGCACTAGAGGTCGTGCAGGCGCTCGTAGTGCGCCAGGCGGGCGCGGGCGGCGGCAGGCGCTAGAGGTCGTGCAGGCGCTCGTAGTGCGCCAGGCGGGCGCGGGCGGCGGCAGGCACTAGAGGTCGTGCAGGCGCTCGTAGTGCGCCAGGCGGGCGCGGGCGGCGGCAGGCACTAGAGGTCGTGCAGGCGCTCGTAGTGCGCCAGGCGGGCGCGGGCGGCGGCAGGCGCTAGAGGTCGTGCAGGCGCTCGTAGTGCGCCAGGCGGGCGCGGGCGAGGCGTAGATCTCGCCTGGCGGCGGCGAGCGCCCGCGTGGCGGCCGCTAGCTGCGCGCGCAGTGCGGCGGGACTGTCCGCGTCGCTAGTGTCGGCGGGTGCCGCGTCCTCTGTGAGCGCTAGTTCTTCTTCGCCTTCTGCTAAATCGCTATCCGCGACTGCCGCTGCATTTGTCGACACCTACAATTTTGTAAAATCGCTTTTTATCAACTTAAAAAGGTGATTCGACGAGTTTGACGACAGATTTACCTTTATAAATATAAAATTTCAAAAACATGCCTTTCCCAGAATGAAGGAAAAATGGGAATTGGCGTGGCATTTTCCCCTAAATTGAATTTATAATTTAAAACGTTTACAAAACCAGGGAAAATGAGAAGTAAATATTTAATTTGTCTCCGAAATATTTTTATGTATATATGCGCCCATGTATGGTTTGAATGAAATAAACATGTTTTTTTACAGGAATTGGGTACTTGCCTTAATCAAAAATAAATTATTTCGACTGTTCAATACAATAAAATATTAAAAATATCACACTTTAATTAATTGATTTTATGACTCACTTAATTTTAGTATTTTTCCAGTATTTTGTTTAGAAATTAGTATGCTGTATGACGCTAAAAAAAGTGACATCACAATACACAATCTCGCCCCTATACTTATTATATTGTCGCGGAGAACCTAACGGGTTACCGGGGCTCCGGCTCGACGTGCAGGAGAAGGAACGGGGTGAGTTTTAGTCAGTAACAGTCTGACACTCCCTCCCGCCTCACCCAGGTGGGAGCAGTCATTCCATGATATTCCCCCTTAAAAAAATACTTATTATACTCTTTGCAATCTCGAACAGTTCGAATAAAATATTTAATATGACTACTTAGTTGGCAAGTATCCAATTAAATAGAACAAAATGAATATGTAGGTATAGGTACCAAGTTTTGATAAAACAAATATTACAGTTTTTTGTTTAACAATCAGTAGTACCTATAGGTATAGTAGTACTATGATAGTATACTACCAATCAAAGTCAAAGTCAAAGCATTTATTTCAATTAAACCATAGTTTGGTAATTTTGAAACGTCAACAAATACAAAATAAATAATAGTCTGTCAGTCAGTCCGTCAGTGAAACTAGGTGAAGCTAGGTGCTCATTCCAAAATGTAGATTCGAATGGAGAAGAACGAGCAAGAAACTCCATTCGTTACTCTTTTAAAAAAGTATGTTCTACAATGTCTCTGATACATATTTCAATACTGTACGCTTATGTAAGAACAATGCAAAGACACGCTTGACGCATTATACTAATAACTTACTAAAATAAAAAATGTAAAGTCCAACATGGTGCTCACACATGCATACTGACAATCCATAGAATTAGTGCTTCTATACAAGAAAAGGAAACTCTTTGTTTCAATAAAGAAATGCTCGATGCCATAAGGAAACTAGATTGTCTACATTAGAATTAAAGTGTTAAATTATGTATTAAATTACCTACTATTGCAATTTAGCTACTGACTACATTTGAGTATTGTCCAGTAGAGCCGAACCAACATGCTGCCAAGCATTCTTATATTAAAGATAATCTGTCAGTGTGTAGTAAGCTTGATTACATAATTCGCGCTTAATATATGTTTTAAATTTACTTTCATTGAGATCTAGTATGCTATTTGGTATTTATTATAGCATTTAATACCCAACCCCATAAAGGATTTCTGTACTTTGGACAGTCTGAATTGCGGTATAGCTAACTTATTTTTGCCTCTAGTATTAAAACTGTGTCTATCGCTTCTTTTTTCAAACAATTGCCTATTTTTCCTTACATACATTATATTTTCATTATATATTGACAGGGCACCGTTAAAATATTTATCGTTTTAAACAATTCTCTCAACGATTCGCAACGGCGTAAGTTATACATTGCTCGGATAGCCCGCTTTTGTAGAATAAATATTGATTCTATTTCTGCATCTCGACCCCACAACAAAATGCCGTACGACATAATGCTGTGGAAACTAAAAAAAATACTGAGCAGTGTTCGACTTTGACATCTCTTCAGGATGCTAGAAAACAAATGACTTTGAAAGAAACTTCAGCGAAGAATACAAAATGGTGCACTTCTAATCCTAAATCTATAGAAATTGACAATTTAATTTCAGAAATGAATAAAAATATACTGCATAATGTTGAATTTGTCCTTAAATAATAATTCTCTCTCATATCACCACTTCTGACCTTGCCTCCGATTCCGATTCCGATAAAGCAAATTTAAAAACTCCGATTCCGCCTTCGGTTCCGATAAAACTACTTCCGTTACATCCCTAGTTTGTAGTCATCAGCTGATTCATAATACTATACGAATATCCTGCTGAATAGGTACAAACAATTTAAAACTTAGTGTCCTTAGAGACGGAATGTACAAATAAATAAATTACAATCTACCTACTTGAGTCACTCGAAGATTTCGTTCGAAGTTTTCGTCTTCGCAATCTTTCTATGCACAGTAACACAGTTATGCAGTACGTTACTGGTTAGATTATGCAACACCGCGGCACTTGTTTTTAATGTGTTTCAAGCACTGATCACTTGCAGTCTCTGGGTAACAACCAGCAGGCATGAATTTCATGTCATGCCTGTGTTGGGAGTTTATAGCCGAGTTACCTCCTAGAAAATGACGCGGCTTTAAATCAACTCCTTGTATATATGTATCTGCGTGGCTCCGGCGGTGGCGAGTAGTCTGTGGAAGTTGGACTAGTACCTACATAGTGGTACATAGAGTAGAGGTGTATATATATGTACCTGCGTGGCTCCGGCGGTGGCGAGTAGTCTGTGGAAGTTGGACTAGTACCTACATAGTGGTACATAGAGTAGAGGTGTATATATATATGTACCTGCGTGGCTCCGGCGGTGGCGAGTAGTCTGTGGAAGTTGGACTAGTACCTACATAGTGGTACATAGAGTAGAGGTGTATATATATATGTACCTGCGTGGCTCCGGCGGTGGCGAGTAGTCTGTGGAAGTTGGACTAGTACCTACATAGTGGTACATAGAGTAGAGGTGTATATATATATGTACCTGCGTGGCTCCGGCGGTGGCGAGTAGTCTGTGGAAGTTGGACTAGTACCTACATAGTGGTACATAGAGTAGAGGTGTATATATATAGTACCTGCGTGGCTCCGGCGGTGGCGAGTAGTCTGTGGAAGTTGGACTAGTACCTACATAGTGGTACATAGAGTAGAGGTGTATATATATATGTACCTGCGTGGCTCCGGCGGTGGCGAGTAGTCTGTGGAAGTTGGACTAGTACCTACATAGTGGTACATAGAGTAGAGGTGTATATATATATGTACCTGCGTGGCTCCGGCGGTGGCGAGTAGTCTGTGGAAGTTGGACTAGTACCTACATAGTGGTACATAGAGTAGAGGTGTATATATATATGTACCTGCGTGGCTCCGGCGGTGGCGAGTAGTCTGTGGAAGTTGGACTAGTACCTACATAGTGGTACATAGAGTAGAGGTGTATATATATATATGTACCTGCGTGGCTCCGGCGGTGGCGAGTAGTCTGTGGAAGTTGGACTAGTACCTACATAGTGGTACATAGAGTAGAGGTGTATATATATATGTACCTGCGTGGCTCCGGCGGTGGCGAGTAGTCTGTGGAAGTTGGACTTGTTCATGATGATCTTGACGGCGGGGCGCGCGCTGGGTGACGTCCCGCCCTGGCGTACTGCCATCCTGCTTTTTGCCTTCATTGGTACTATTTTCGAAGGAGACACTAACTTGGCGTCTGGAGGCAATTGAACGAATTTCACCTAAAAATTTCAAAATATCTCTTATTAGCTTTCCCCCCTGGTTTCCTAAGCGAAGCGCGCGGCGCAGTGTACGACTTGTAGCCTTGTATAATGTCATCTAGTTCTGCGTGCTGGCTTGAAACTTAACTACTTACTTATTATTATTATATATTTAGTCGGAAAAACGGGAGTTACCTAGGTAACTAGAATGTTTTCCAGTGGAAATTCTGAAAGAGCTAATCTATAAAAATCCCAATTTTTAAAAGTCCGGAATACTTTCTAGGCAAAACTACCAAAATGATGTTTATACACACCAGTAATTTTGGTACTTTTAATAAATCTTATTATCCTATTAAACTTTAAACCTCAAAAGTAGTTGTGAGTGAAGGGTAGGACCGTAGGCTTACAATTCTACTGTGTATATATGTTCCCACATCATCATCATTTTATATATAAATATAAATAACCTGCATGTCTTGCGGGTTAATAATCTTTTTCACGGGTATTTTGTTGTCCTTGGGCACCGCGAGGAGTTTGTTGTTCAGAGTGAATATCTTCACACCAGGTTTCGGGGGCGATTTAACTGGCGTGGCCGTTAGTACCACGCCTTTTGGTTGGCTCGACGCCGTGCCCGCCTTGTTGGACGCCGGCGACGGGCTCTCGCTGCTCTCCTTTAACATCAATTTGCCTGCGTCTGCGAACATAAGCGGGCGCGTCAAGGGGATGCAGTAGTAGAACGACCAGTGTAAGGCGCAGACTCGCGCGTGACGCCGCGCCTAGTAGTAGGAGCCAGTACTAGTGGTAGTGCATGCAGTGCAAGTAGTAGAGCGCACCGGAGAGCACGACGGTGCGGCCGCACTGCAGCGCGGACAGCACGGTGCCGCCCGGGTCGGCCGGCAGCAGCGTGACGCCGCGCCTAGTAGTAGGAGCCAGTACTAGTGGTAGTGCATGCAGTGCAAGTAGTAGAGCGCACCGGAGAGCACGACGGTGCGGCCGCACTGCAGCGCGGACAGCACGGTGCCGCCCGGGTCGGCCGGCAGCAGCGTGACGCCGCGCCTAGTAGTAGGAGCCAGTACTAGTGGTAGTGCATGCAGTGCAAGTAGTAGAGCGCACCGGAGAGCACGACGGTGCGGCCGCACTGCAGCGCGGACAGCACGGTGCCGCCCGGGTCGGCCGGCAGCAGCGTGACGCCGCGCCTAGTAGTAGGAGCCAGTACTAGTGGTAGTGCATGCAGTGCAAGTAGTAGAGCGCACCGGAGAGCACGACGGTGCGGCCGCACTGCAGCGCGGACAGCACGGTGCCGCCCGGGTCGGCCGGCAGCAGCGTGACGCCGCGCCTAGTAGTAGGAGCCAGTACTAGTGGTAGTGCATGCAGTGCAAGTAGTAGAGCGCACCGGAGAGCACGACGGTGCGGCCGCACTGCAGCGCGGACAGCACGGTGCCGCCCGGGTCGGCCGGCAGCAGCGTGACGCCGCGCCTAGTAGTAGGAGCCAGTACTAGTGGTAGTGCATGCAGTGCAAGTAGTAGAGCGCACCGGAGAGCACGACGGTGCGGCCGCACTGCAGCGCGGACAGCACGGTGCCGCCCGGGTCGGCCGGCAGCAGCGTGACGCCGCGCCTAGTAGTAGGAGCCAGTACTAGTGGTAGTGCATGCAGTGCAAGTAGTAGAGCGCACCGGAGAGCACGACGGTGCGGCCGCACTGCAGCGCGGACAGCACGGTGCCGCCCGGGTCGGCCGGCAGCAGCGTGACGCCGCGCCTAGTAGTAGGAGCCAGTACTAGTGGTAGTGCATGCAGTGCAAGTAGTAGAGCGCACCGGAGAGCACGACGGTGCGGCCGCACTGCAGCGCGGACAGCACGGTGCCGCCCGGGTCGGCCGGCAGCAGCGTGACGCCGCGCCTAGTAGTAGGAGCCAGTACTAGTGGTAGTGCATGCAGTGCAAGTAGTAGAGCGCACCGGAGAGCACGACGGTGCGGCCGCACTGCAGCGCGGACAGCACGGTGCCGCCCGGGTCGGCCGGCAGCAGCGTGACGCCGCGCCTAGTAGTAGGAGCCAGTACTAGTGGTAGTGCATGCAGTGCAAGTAGTAGAGCGCACCGGAGAGCACGACGGTGCGGCCGCACTGCAGCGCGGACAGCACGGTGCCGCCCGGGTCGGCCGGCAGCAGCGTGACGCCGCGCCTAGTAGTAGGAGCCAGTACTAGTGGTAGTGCATGCAGTGCAAGTAGTAGAGCGCACCGGAGAGCACGACGGTGCGGCCGCACTGCAGCGCGGACAGCACGGTGCCGCCCGGGTCGGCCGGCAGCAGCGTGACGCCGCGCCTAGTAGTAGGAGCCAGTACTAGTGGTAGTGCATGCAGTGCAAGTAGTAGAGCGCACCGGAGAGCACGACGGTGCGGCCGCACTGCAGCGCGGACAGCACGGTGCCGCCCGGGTCGGCCGGCAGCAGCGTGACGCCGCGCCTAGTAGTAGGAGCCAGTACTAGTGGTAGTGCATGCAGTGCAAGTAGTAGAGCGCACCGGAGAGCACGACGGTGCGGCCGCACTGCAGCGCGGACAGCACGGTGCCGCCCGGGTCGGCCGGCAGCAGCGTGATGCCGTGGCGCCGCAGGAGCTCGCCCGCGCCGTCCGCGCCCCCGCCCGCGCCCCCGGCCCCGCCGCCGCCCCCGGCGCCGTCCGCTGCGCCCTGTCACGCCATCATGTTTCATTATTAGTGATGTAACGAATGCGAAGATAAAAGGTTATGTTAGGTTCGATCTAACTTGTGAAGACTTTTGACACGTTATTTCCAATGGTGCAGCAGATTCTACCAAAAGGGCATTGCCTAAAATTGGTGCCATTCTGTTTTCTGGCGGCAGTCGATAATTTAAGAAAAATATTATCTAGAATGATATTACCAACGAAATTGTCTATGGGCTTGAAATTTATTTTGCTTTTTTTATGTTATTCATATCTTTGTTATTGTCATTATCTTACACCATACCACACTATAATATGCAAGGTACGGCAAGCGTTAATTTTTATCAATTTTCTCTCAGTCAAGCTTCGTGAGCGTCAGCTGCGGTACCAGTGGCGAGTTGATTAGTGGCAGACGCTCAAACATCTAACAAAGTATCATGTTTTAACCGTTTACTCCTGATTGGAGAGTTTGGAGACTCATCTACTTTACAGTTAGCATAATCTTTAGAAGAAAGGGAATCATCAGCGGGTTGTGAATGGATGGACTATACCTCAGATGAATGCATAATTCTTTCATAGGTATTTGTATGATCAGCCGAAGTACAATCTATCACTTTGTGACCGGGTGACGATATCTTTCTATAAAATGTTATGCTAAACGTAGATCAGAGTATTAACCGTAGTAGACGTAGACTTCTCCCCACTAGTATCTAATCTATAGTAACTAGTGGGGAGAAGTCGACAGAAAAATGATTTTTTACGTGTTTAGACGACTGCCGCTACTTAATCCGCTGCCGAAGCCGCAGTTAACAAACATAGCATTTCATGATAAGGCTCATGTAATTATTTTGGGGGTTGTCGACTGAGAGGAAATTGGTCATGAAAATCTGTCATAGATCATACATTTATTTATTTATAAAGAATGTATATAAAATGTAGACGTTAGCCAGAAGAAGCGGAAAGATTATTTTTACTTGTACAATGGTCGGTTAACGGTTAATTTGTTTAAACACATACCTACTAAGCTCTGATTCCGCTTTATAACAAAAAAAAGTTAAAAAGTCATAATGAGATTCATTTTGTTTCTTGAAATCGCTTATTAATGTTAATTACAAAATATTTCTGATAAGTAGATGAAGAAAATATGCACTGTGTGCGGTCACCAACTCACCATCAACAAATAACAAGAATAATATAGCACTATTTTCACATCTTTGAATTGATTTAACTCTGTTCAGATTGAGTTTTTGATATAAGACCCCATACCTATAATATTTTTTTTATTTGAAATGTGATTCTGCATTAGCTTTTCCACACCCGATCAATTGCCGCGAAAAAATAAAAAAAACACCAGCATCTATACGAATTTGGTCATTGTCATTTAGTTCTTCTCTAATTTTGGGTATGAATACTGTTTTGATGTGAACTTAAACTGCAAACAATTGCCTACAAAATGTGCGCTTCGAGACGCACATCAAGTTGGCAAAATAAAGACCTAGTATACCTCTAGACAAATTGGTCCAAATTCTGAAGTAAATGTCTAAAATAGATACATTTGTTCATCGCTATAATATGTACTTACCTCCATTTTTGATTCTTCTTTTACTGCCTTATCATTCTGTTTTGGTCTCGGTAGTTTCATATCCTGAATTCCTAGAATATCATAAAGGTCAAAAAAATTAAATCAATATCTGATGTAAGTGCCTAGGCTATGCTACAGTTACCGACAGAAAGTCTATAGTGTGACTCACTTTGGACCGCATCGAATGTTTCTATCTCAGGTTCTGCGGTGGATACTTCTGCCATTTGTTCTGTAACAACAATCAGTAACATTAACTTTTCATAGGCTTTGCAAAATCGATCACGTAATTTACCGAGTCGAGTGGCTCATAGGTGCGTCCGATTCACGTACCTATAGAAACTTCTCCAGCGATTTTATACTAGGCAGGAGAGGACCGGCGCTCTTACGTAAATACGCGTGAAACATATAATTATCTCAAGTTTAGTAGAAGAAACGGTACCGTCCACCAGCGCCGACACCGAGCGCGCCGCCTCGCGCTGGCGCAGTGCGTCCTCCAGCAGGCGCACCAGGTCCGCGCGCCGCAGTCGCCGCGCCAGCTCCAGCGGCGACTTGCGGAACTTGTTGCGGAGGGTCGGGTCCGCGCCCGCGCGCAGCAGCTCGGCCGCCGCCGCCGCGTGGCCGTTCTGCACCGCCCAGTGCAGCGGCGTCATGCGCAGCATGTCGCGCGCGTCCACCGCCGCGCCCGCGTCCAGCAGCAGGCGCGCCACGGCGGCGTGGCCCGCGCCCGCCGCCAGGTGCAGCGGCGTGCGCTCCACCTTGCTGCGCGCGTCGCGCGACACGCCGGCGCGGAGCAGCACGGCGCACGTGCCCGCGTGCGCGCCGCCCGCCGCCAGGTGCAGCGCCGACGTGCCCAGCTGTAGCACGCCACATGTAGCCAGGGACGGCGAGGGAGCCGCGAGGCAGCCCGCTTCCCGCACTTACCCAGTCGGTGGTGAAGGGCGCGCCCTTGGCCATGAGGTCGAGCACGAGCTGCGTGTCGCCGGCGCGCGCGGCCACCAGCAGCCGGCGGCCGAGCTCCACGGCGGCGGAGGAGGCCGCCACGCGCGCGCCCGCGCCCCCGGCCCCGCCGGCCACCAGCGTCTGCGACTGATACGTTCTTCATGAATGTATACATATTGCCTAATACCAATTTTGTGGAAAGGGCCACAAGAATCTATTTGCTTTAACTCGAATATGGCTCTCAAACACTTTTTTCTGCATTATAAATGCTTGATCAATCCCTACACACCGACCCCACAAAATATTTAACACCGTATCCCCAAATGGAAGAAATGTAGCCGTAGACCTCAGGGCTAATATTGTAGGAAATTAGTTGTATTATTACCTCCCGAGAGGAATACGTCGAGTTACAAGTCACCCAGTATATAAATCTATTCATTCTCAAACATCATGGAAGTACCTACGTATTCTTGAAAGAACAAAAGTCCAAAGTACTCCCCAGAGGTTTAATCGAGTCAGTTTCCATCAGAGCATAGATTACATTAAGATCAAGTGAAACAAGTGAATTTATTTCTGCAAATAGGCTACAAGGCAGCACTTTTATTTATTTATTTAACAACTTTGGAAGACTAACAGTTAATAAAACAAAAATTATGACATTGTGTGAGAGTCTGACAGCCAATGACAAGTCTTCACATATAAAAAACAAACTTATGCTATAAAATAATGTGGTCGACACAGTACGCCCTACAAAATTATTATAATAATAAAAACAAATAAAGGAAAGGCTCAGGCACCTCCTGACCGTAGATACTTTAATATTAAAAAGGTCAAAATCATGCTGCTTGCACACGCCGTTAAATTCCTTAATGGCACGCACAAAATACGAGTTTTGCCTATAATTGGTAGAGGAGGATGGAACACGTAGCGGTGGAAACCATCTCCTTGACCTTCCAGGAACATTGAGAAACAATCTTGCTAGAATATCGGAACTGTCAACATTATTTGTTAAGATTTTAATTAATAGGGTACAATCGCTTATTGCTCGGCGGTCCTTAAGCGGTAAGATGTGATATTTCTTACAGAGACTGTAGTAATCTTCAGACCGGTATGGGACACCCTGGTGATAGCACAGATACTTGATGAATTTCTTCTGGATATTTTTAATACGATCAATGTATTTGTGATAACACACTAGTGACTTCTAACAAAAGTACAGTATAGAATTTTTAAAGTTTTTGATTGAGTGAAGCACTTAGATAGACGCACAATTAAGCCCAATGACTTTGAAGCTTTAGCAACAATGGCATTAACATGAGCCTCAAAAGTGAGCTTAGTGTCATGATGAACCCCCAGATCTCGGATGATATCTGATCTAGGAAGTGTTTGATCTCCCAAGGTATATGATGCAACTATATTAGTGCGCTTTCGGGAATATGTCACCACCGAACATTTTGAGGGATTTAGATCCAGCCTACACTCACGACAGTAAGCTTCCAGTCGACACAGGTCAACCTGTAACGCAGCCACATCGGTCTGTGATGATATTTTTGAATGGATTTTCATATCATCGGCAAAACACAGTAACTTTGATGAGATCAGACATGAATCAATGTCGTTTATATAGATGATAAAGAGTAATGGGCCGAGCAAAGATCCCTGCGGAACTCCACTGGGGACAGGTACCCAACCAGACATATAATTTCTTAAAACTACTGCTTGGGACCGGTTTCTCAGATACGAGAAAAACCATCTGAGTAGATGACCACGTATTCCCACACTATCCATCTTAGATAATAATATTTCATGTTGAATTCGATCAAAAGCTTTACTGTAGTCTGTATAAACGACATCGACTGCCCACCCCTGTCCATAGCATCAGTAATGAAATCGTTAAGAAGAATTAAGTTAGTGACGGTGGACCTTCCTTTCAAAAAACCGTGTTGGAAAGAACTAAAAGAGTTATTGAGCGCACTATATACCTGATTGTAGATAATTCTTTCAAAGATTTTTGCTCTGATACATAGTTTAGAAATTGGTCTGTAATTAATTGTTTCAGTTTTTACTCCTTATTTGTGAATTGGTGTTATAAATGCCGATTTCCAAAGTTTGGCCACGATGCAACACTCTAGAGACTTCCTAAATAAAATAGTAATGGGCCGGGTAATTGACGTTACACACCGTACAAGAAATTTGGATGAAATGTTATCTGGGCCCGCTGCTTTAGATGTATCCAGTTTACGAAGTAACCTGGAAACCTCATCCTCGCTTACCTCGACACTGCAAATATCGGACAGAGCCGGAGGTCCAGCTGAGGGATAGAAACGCCCACTATAAGAAGTTGGACTGGTATCAAGATTTCATTGTTGTAATTTAGGGTACTAGGAATTGCATGTGAGTTGTGTCTTTTTTTAACGAAGGTCCAAAAGTGCTTCGGGTTTACTTTACTTTTACACGTCAATAATGCGAGCGATCGCGAGGCACTGCGAGGACCGCCCTGAGGACACGGTGGAACACACTGTAGCGGAATGCCCTGCGTGGGCTGAGCACCGCCGGGCCCTCAGAGACGTGATCGGCGATGGCGACCTCTCGCGTCCGGCCCTAGTGTGGGCCATGATGCGGAGCGAGGGTGACTGGGATGCCGTCTCCTCATTTTGCAAAGGAGTCATGCTAGCTAAGGGGGAGGCGGAACGCGTGAGGCAGCGAAGCGCTGCCTAATCGTAACCCAGCCATCGCGAAGGACACTCCGGGCGTCGGAAATCGCGGGCCTGCGGACGGCGAGCATGGGTGGCTCGCCGCCCGACCAGAACCAGACCCGAGCGTACGGCGCGTCGCGTTCCGCGCGCGCCTCAAAGAGCCATCAGACCACCAAGGATGGGGCTGATGCCGATTCGGAGTCGCGGAGAACCTAACGGGTTACCGGGGCTACGGCTCGACGTGCAGGAGAAGGATCGAGGTGGTTCTTAGTCAGTAACAGTTTGACACTTCCTCCCGCCTCAGCCAGGCGGGAGCAGTCAATAGATGATTTTCCCCCCTTAAAAAAAACTGTATTAATTTGACCTTGAAATTGCTACCAAGTAACCCTTTATAATAATGTGGGTTTTTACACAAATTAATACAGTATGATAAAACACCATACTAAAAAAAATCAAAATAATTAAATTATTATTCATTAAACTCAGAACACCTAGTCCCTATTATGACACCTACTGAGTGTTTAGAAGTTGGTGTCCCAAGTCCTAAACAAAACTTATTTATTATAAATTAGGCAGCTGTATCCATTATGAGGATTGGTAAGTAATATTTTATTATGGGCCAATTTGAATCGTTCAAGTGTTACTATGTTCCATTAACCTACTAAGTGTTAGTATGTAAGGTCTGTAAATTGAGACAATGCATAAAGTTAAAGGAAGTTAAATGAAAATTATAAGAGCCCCTCAGCGACTTCCATTTAAGTCAAGAAGTCCTTCAATAATAAATTAAAATCCAGCATAAAGAAATAAAAAGAAGTAATTACCCTACAGTCATAGTCTGCATCAATACAAGTTTCACGAATAAACTAAAAACTCACAGTAATTATCTGCGGGGTTGTAATGCGCACAACCACATCATCTGCACACAGGCCTGAGGTCATTGTGGAACATCTGGAAATATTTTATTCTATAATTACTACATACTTACAACATAGCAGTTACTTAAATGCAAACTTGTACGTTAAACAGAGAATATTAATTTTTGCCTTTGAAGTGTAACATTTCTAAAATACATGTTTATATAATAATACTTTACTATCATCAAATTATTAGAATTTTATGGCCAATTTTATATTGTATACATCTAATAACTTATAAATGTGTGAGGCAGATGAGGCAGATGCCTTAGATGAACATCATCAATATCATCAAACCTACCAAGAATAAAATAGTCTGGGTCGACTATCTTTGTTGTTCGACCAAGTAGCAGTAGAAACTATTAATTAACAATGGTTCAGAACAATTGCTTTTGTCAGGTATCTATTATATTTAATTATATAGGTATGTCTAATATGTTCTTTACGAAAAATGACGTTTCATCAGCATGCGAATAATTGTTAACCATTCTACCGTTTGCGGTTTTCAAATCTCAATCTCAATATTATTGATCGAAATTTAACAGGATATGAGGATATGGATGTCAGTTTGTCAAGCACGTACCAAACCATGCTACGGCCGCCATAAAATACACTTCCTTTTCCTGTTACAACGGAAGTGCTTAACTGTCTCTGCGCAGTAATATAACAAGATCATGCTTATTTTGGGCGACTTACCTACGCTGTATCGTCTGCGATACATATAAGAAATTGACTGAATCCCTCTTGAATATATTTTAAGGCAAAAGTGTAAACGTCAACAGAATTCTATACGCTGTACGGTTCTATGAAAGATTCAACGTTTGGCGACCGCGAAAATAAACGTCAAAGTATCTGATCAAAAAAGTAACATTGTTGTGTCATATAAATAATCATGGGCTATTCAATTAAAATCTTTTACATAATGCTCGAAAATTCAAGTAATTGTTTACAATAATAATGTAAAAACCTTCGATAATGTAGTGATTTTTAGGTTATGTTTTCGATTATTATGTTGGTATTGAATATTACATTTGTACCATAGACAATAATAGACAGACTTCTTTAAGGGTATGTTCCGATGTACACTGTGAGTGCGCCGCTCCGCATTAATCTTACTGTTAGAATAATCATTTTGTTAAGGACTGCCAATCATGGAATAAATAAGTACTACATTTCCACTGCTACAATACCCTAAAGAAATATATGATGTCATAAATTGTCGTCATATTTGTATCGTGGGCACTGGATATTGGAGATTTTGAGGTACGGTGCTCGCAGTGCTTTTAATTACGTTTTATGTCGAAACTATAAAGTATTGCGAGTTTAACAAAAAAAAAAAAAATGAAGTGATATTTTCCGTTGAAAAAAGGGAGGCTTTATATTTATTTATTTATATTATTCACATTGCATTAAAAAAGGACAATGCTAAAAAATATATTGTGTAAAATTCCAGAATTCATACTGTTCAGATAACTCAGTGTATGTCGGAACATACCCTTAATTGTTATTGTGAAGAAAACTGCCTGGGTCTATGGTGTAATTATAATTCTCTTGGAATGCAATTTGAGAAATATCCTTATCCACCCACTAGAAATATCACTGTGGGTTTTTTGGAGAGAATCCGTAGTCTCTTATTATTCTAAACATATTTTTTTTTTAAATTTCATGCTATACAAAAAAGTAACAAAAATGGGTACTTGGTGATTTGCACGGGTGATTTGACAAAAAACTGTTCAGAGAAATGAATAAAAATTATATTTATCAATGACGTTGAAAAAAGGCGTACTTACATAGTCTACTAAAACAAAATCAACTATATACATTTACATGCAGACACAAATTAATAATGATTGGCGATGCAAAGATTAACCGCGCGCCTCTAGCGGCGAAATTTAGAAGTTGTCCAAGAACGACACTTTGGTTTCGAGTTGAGGTATTATGTTTAAACATTATCAAATGGATCAGGATTAGATTAACTCGTCGAGTAACGGTTTTATAGACACAATTAAAGAACAATAGGTCGCGGTCACCGGTGACCGCTTGGTGTTTGACAGTTTAAGACGATTGAGACATACAGAAACCTGTTTATAATAAAAGTGGGAACACAAAATGTTGTTGCGTTCCTCAATGTAATACTTACGGAGATTCGGAGAACGATTCGGGAATAAGTGTTCATTTGTATTAAAACTTTCTTGAGACATAGGTACTAAATAAATTATTATGACATTTTCGAATTATTTTAATAATATGTGCCCCATGCTGAGTAGAGTACTCAAAGTTGTTATTCCTTGGCCTGATACCGAAATAATACGTAGTAACTTATCTAAATCATTCCAAAAATAGAAAAATACAAGAATGATATTAAACTGTGCTAAGACTGTGATTAAAAATGTAAATGTTTAAAATGTAGAATATTGACGTACTTCGAATATAAAAAAAGCAATACAGCGAAGTTTAATATTGGAATAACTCCTTCTGGCCTAATAAAGCCTGAAATAAGTGCATCTTATGGTGGTCGAGCACCAGATAAACATATTGTAAATGAATCAGGAATCTTAAATAAATGCGAGTTTAATGATAGAGTGATGGTGGATAAAGGATATAGGATTGAATTTCAAATGTAATGAAGTGAGTTAAGGATATTAATTGGATAATTAGTCTAAAATTTGATTAATTTTGCAATTTACTTAGACATTTATCTACAAGAAACCACATTTTAATAAATATTCTATCTCTGACGTAAATTATATACGAAAACTGACATTTATATTAATCTAATGACTGTCAGTGTCGTTCTTAGACAGCTTCACAATTTTGACACTAGAGGGGCTAATTACAATCCTTGCATCGCCAATACTAAGTACATATCACTTAAATATCTGTCACTCCTTTTTTTTAAGGGGGGAAAATCATCGAATGACTTCTCCCGCCTGGGTGAGGCGGGAGGGAGTTTCAGAGTCTTACTGATTAAAAACCACCCTGTTCCTTCTCCTGCACGTCGAGCCGGAGCCCCGGTCACCTGTTAGGTTCTCCGCGACTCCGAATCGGCATCGGCCCTGTTGGGCCCCATCTGTGGTGGTCTGATGGCTCTTTGAGGCGCCCGCGGAACGCGACGCGCCGTACGCTCGGGTCTGTTTCTGGTCAGACGGGGAGCCACCCATGCTCGCCGTCCGCAGGCCCGCGCTTACGGTGGCTGGAGATCGTCCCGCGATCCCCAACGCCCGGTGTGTCCTTCGCGATGGCTGGGTTGCGAGGAGGCAGCGCTTCGCTGCCTCATGCGTCCCGCCTCCTCCTTAGCTAGCATGACTGCTTCGCAAATCTGTCACTCCTATAATAGAAATAATAAGTCGTATCAGTGCCTCAGTGCTGTCACTTGTCATGGCCTGTCGTTACACTTCATACATTACAGTGTTGCAAGTTAATTAACATTTTCATTTACTCGAATTTGGGTAAATGTATACATATTTTACATCATTATGTTATGTTTGATAGACTGAACTATTTGCATACAAATAACAACAAACGATGATATATTATTGAAACAATTTTGCAAGGACTGATAGTTGCAAATATCGTGTGCTCCACCAGACTGTGTGTCTGTGGTGTACCCTGTAGAATTATAATGTACTTAATTAAATAATGTAATAATATAAACATTTTGTTTTTATTGTGTATTAAAATAACTAAACATAAATAAATTGTATACTTAAACAAAAATCAAAAAGTCTTTTATTTCTAAACAGAAGGTAAGTAATTATTAGTAATAAATTGGAAAAAATAAAAGTTACACAAAATAAAGTGAATTAAAAAAATAAAAATCAAAAAGTAACTTAAAATTATTCGAAGTAAGTATAAAAATTATTAAAAAAAATTAAGTTTAAAAAAATCAAAATATTAAACGAAACAGTAATTATAATCTACGGTTTTTATAAGGAAATACTAATTGTTACTAAATATATACAACTTAAGATAATGTACCCAGAAGGCTGGCAGCATTGCCACGATGTATGGCAATGCTTAACCTCAGACTGAGAAAAAGACCAGCCCTGTGTTCACGAGATGCGGCGACCAAGCGTTTAGAAATGTTTTTAAGGACCTAACGTCTCAACCCCAAACGGCTCAAAAATATAACTACCAACAAAGTTGTTATACTTGCGTTGCGTTCCGCGCGCGCACAAAGAGCCATCAGACCACCACGGACGAAGGACCTAGCGGCTTATCGGGGTCCGGCTCGAAGTGCAGGAGTAGGAACGGGGTGGTTTTTAGTCAGTAAGAGTCTGACACTCCCTCCCGCCTTACCTAGGCGGGAGAAATTGGGCTCGCTGCCATTGCAGCGGTAAGTCCCCTCTTTGAGGAGTGGCTTGAGAGACGCTACGGCGTCCTCACCTACCGCCTGACGCAGGTCCTCACCGGACACGGAAGTTTCGGGAGGTACCTGTGTCTGATGGGGCGGGAGGAAACGCCCGGGTGTCATCACTGCGAGGACCGCCCTGAGGACACGGTGGAACACACCGTAGCGGAATGCCCTGCGTGGGCTGAGCACCGCCGTGCCCTCAGGGAAGTGATCGGCGATGGCGACCTCTCGCGTCCGGGCCTAGTGCAGGCCATGATGCGGAGCGAGGGGGACTGGGATGCCGTCTCCTCCTTTTGCGAAGCAGTCATGCTAGCTAAGGAGGAGGCGGGACGCGTGAGGCAGCGAAGCGCTGCCTCCTCGCAACCCAGCCATCGCGAAGGACACACCGGGCGTCGGGGATCGCGGGACGATCTCCGGCCACCGTAAGCGCGGGCCTGCGGACGGCGAGCATGGGTGGCTCCCCGTCCGACCAGAAACAGACCCGAGCGTACGGCGCGTCGCGTTCCGCGCGCGCCTCAAAGAGCCATCAGACCACCACAGATGGGGCCCAATAGGGCCGATGCCGATTCGGAGTCGCGGAGAACCTAACGGGTAACCGGGGCTCCGGCTCGACGTGCAGGAGAAGGAACGGGGTGGTTTTTAGTCAGTAAGAGTCTGACACTCCCTTCCGCCTCACCCAGGCGGGAGCAGTCATTCGATGATTTTCCCCCTTAAAAAAAAAAAAAAAATAAAAAAAAAAAAAAAAAAAAAAGGCGGGAGAAATCATTGGATGATTTTCCCACCTTAAATTTCAAAAAAAGTGGACGAACGTATTATGCCACAGTACACGATACTTGATGATATCAAGAGCATATTATTCCACATCCTGCACTTGGTACCAGTTACAACCTCTTCGGTTTACAATAATAGTGAGGTCTTCAGCCGCACCCGACAGTGACGCTAAGTGACTGCGCGCACTGTACCACCACTCACTAACTTACTACGTTGTGCGTTGCTCTGCTATTTGCGAAACCGAGAAGGTGACAGGTTCGTGCCAAGAGTGGCGCCTCGTGCCGTCACGTAACTATTTCTACTATAGATACGACGTGATAATCGCTCGGCTACTCCTAACTACCTTCAATATGGAAATGCTTCATAAATTGCGACGTTATTACTTTTCCAAGTCCAATACTAGTAAAGTTTAAAATTTGGATTGGTATCTTGATTATAAGGAGTAGTGGATGCGGTGGCCAGCGAGTTCGTCATTTCAATACGAGCTCTCGGTAGCCGCAGTGGTGAGATATTTGTTGGATTGTGCGGAATGCAAGTTCCCACTGCCACTAACTACTGGCTCGGCGAGAGGCACCAGTTTGGTCATCAACGGAATCACATAATACCTAATACTTAAATTTAATAATATTCTGAAATAACAAAAAAAAAAAAAATTTAATATACTATTTTCTCTGATAATTAAAATCATTAAAAGTTCATTGAGCTACTTATATATATATTTTATTGCAAATAATGATTTGATTTAATTTGAAATGTATATGTAGTTACTTGGCTGATGTTAATGCTGATGTAAATGTTGATGTTAAAATAAATAATCCTTTAATTAATTGATTGCACAGTTAGCGCGGTGGCTGGGCAACCGGCTGTTGCGGAACGTGTAGCGGGTTCGATTCTAGAGCAGCTTTGAGTGATCCATAAATTGTTGTTCTGGGTCTGGGTGTCATGTGCATGT